AGTGCCTTTAAATATTTACACACATTTTTCCATGAAGATAAGTCAAAGGATCAAGCAGGAAAAAGTTACCTCAAGGCGACCGGTTCAAAAAGAGATACGACGGAACGTTTAAGTGTTCGCGCAATGGTGGATAAAGAGTCGAAATAAAAGGAAACAGGTAATAACCACTGAGGACCAGGTCTAAGGTTAAAAGATAGATGATTCAAAATATCGAAGTTCATCTTATGCGGAGCAGCCAAGGCAAAGCGGCTCTCATGGACGGTTGTGTTGTCGCGCGAAAACAGGACATTTTTTGTCAATTTTCCTCGTCTTTTCTCCTTAATGTGTTCTTTTAGTCACTCTAGTATTGAAGCGTAGTATTCGCCAGTTTTAGAAAAACATTATCTTCAAAATCGATCAATAATACTCCTTCGGAGTCCCAAAAGACCGTTTCCCAGCTAACTGTGGCAACCAAAAATTTCTTGAAAGGGGCTTTGCCTTCTTTACGCCACTGCATGGAGTTTTTTGTTTCGACTCAGGTTCACAAAGGTGAACCAAGGTTTTGTCTCCATTAACAATTCGTGTCAATTCACCAGTCTGATGTTGAATACAGAGGCCCAAAAATGCACGGGAATACCCACGCGCTGTTGCTGTTGCGAAGGTGTGATCATGTCAAACACCCATCTTGTATGTATATATGTAATTGAAGCTTTATAGCCGCGATATTTAGTCGGGCTTCTAGTCCAATTTGTGCTGAGCGACGGCCTAACTTTCGAAAAAAGCCTGTTCAATAATTTAGATGATGATCTGCCCAAGATTCGCACCCACAACTCCCCACATAGAAGAACACACTAACCACTGCTAAATAATCGGTTACAGCCACCGGTGCAGTGAACGATTTCTCTGAAAATTTCGTAACACCGACTCAAAGGATGTTGTCATCGTCCATACTTCTTCACCACCACATACTCGGTGGGGTATGATAAGTGTCTTACAGAGTTTGTTCAGTATTCGTCGAGAGAGAGTAGCAGCTGTTGTCAGGAGTGATTCTTCGTTGAGCTTTATACGCTCAAAATTCTGAGACCGAAATATTATGTTATATAAAGATATAGTTTTGCTCGCACATTCCTACTGGGTATCACCAGCATACCAGCGAAAATAGTTATCCCACAATCAAGTTGTTGCCTTGCATATTATGTGACATCCTTTCATATGTTAGACTTAATGCAACAAGCGGTACGAATTGTTGAAAGTTTTACGATTACACCATCGGAGCTTTTTTTCTATTTTGTTGCGTAATACTTAACGTTGTGGCAGATGTAATATTCTGCTGACTTTTCCCCATCTACGTCCTTATAGTTGGGTCAAAAATCATTATAGGAGTTGCCTATCCACTTTCCGAGAACCGATTTACAAAGCTTAGATTTGGGATTTATGGATTTTTGGGATATATATTTTGGCATTCTTGGTCAGGAAAAAGATCCCATATGACTAAAGGCGACCCTGGTTATTAACAGAAGTTTCGCAAGTATCACAGATTTATTATTGTAGATAGAAATTAATCTCTTTATCAGAAACTATGAGTGTCCTTTCAGACTGTGAGATGATCGAACTTAATAATCAGAACGAATAGTGAAAGGCGAAGCGCAGACGCCCTCATCGCAGTATTAATTATTTCAATAATCTCGCAACGTATTGCGTCAAAAAATGCCGTTAGAAACAAAGAAGCTGTAGACAGGACTTAAACACATGCATATATGCTGCGTTCGAGGCCAGCTGATGAAATCAGCATAAGGGCCTTCCATCTTACCAACGAACCGAGCTAAGTATAATTAAATCACCCAAGGAGCTGGGAGCCGCATCAGAATGCAAAGGAACGCATTAGAAACATGCAAAACCACCAAGATCATGTGTCATAGCGCCCAAGGATGCATTTTTATTTAAAAAAAGGCATAGCCGTCTTATACGGCGACTACTTTAGATTTCAATAAAACGGACATCCAAAGTGCCAGCTAGTCTATGCCGTCCACTCTAACTTACCCTAACCTAGCAAAGTGTAAAATAATTTAAAATCTCTTTTCAACGGCATGGTAGTCTTCCCCTCCTTCCAGTGATGGTTACTGTATTGAGTACTTTCACAGCATTCCCCAGTGAGCTGTCTCGCTGAACTATATAAAATGTGTTGTGTATTTCGTGCTACTCATCGGTATTCTATACGTAAAGGACCATAAATCATTCGTAAAAACTTTCTCTCGTAAGCTCCTAGTGCCTACTCATTGGATGACGTCATCTTTCATATTTCTGCTCCTTATAGACGACTTGCAGAATTTTGTTTTGGTTCGTCAAGAGCGTGTAATTTTCAATTTCTCACTCAGACCATCTGTGCGCAAGAGTAATTCTGCATCGGATTTCAAGACTGGCTTTGTTGTTGGTGTTGATGATGTATGATGGTTCTTAAATAGACGAAATTATATATAATTACAAAGTTACTATACATATAATGCCAGACGTCAATTGTTAGCAACGAGTTCGGTTTGAGGCCAATACGTTCAGAAAGTGGTATCGCAGGTTTAGAAACAAGCTGCTCGCCTCGTTTAAATGGGACGTCCTTAACAAGCTTATAGACTTTGAGAACGAACAAAATAACGCTCCAGAATGCGTAACATATATGGCGCAAAGCTTAGTTAGATCTTACTAGCGACAAAGATGTCAGACACCAGACTTCTAGTGGAACCATAAGCTTCGCTTGCCTTCAAATATTTTCTGGTTCTGAAAAACAAATTCAGTAAATGCCGGGAATATATGGAGCACGTTAACTCTGAGTGCTCGACGTTTGATGGGAAAAACATGCTAGACTTTTAACCTTTAAGGTTCAAAATGCCAACTTCAGCTTGCTAAGGGTGCCGTAATGTTACTTAATCTATGGACGTATTAGGAAGTGTAGCAACATGGACCTTACCTTATATATCGTATAATACTATTTAGGTGGTATAGTCTTAATAGTATCCTCAGGTGGTCAACTATTTTATTCCGAACTGACCTAACCTCATTGAAATACAACAACTTCGAACTCATGTGCTCTAAGAAATATGTGAAATTAAAAACAAATAGCCGGATTTCCAGGATTTTTCCAGCCTCACTGTGAATATATAAATGCCAGTCATTATCCGATAGTCTATGTATGTACTACCATTCTGAAAGCCAGGGTTCGTGTTCTGGTTCCCCAAACATTCAAAATTATTAAAAAAAATATTTTTTTTTACTTATTACAAGTTGAGCTCGGCCGAAATATTGGAGTTATCCGATTTATATCAAATATGCACCGAGCAATAGGTCGATAACTTTTTGCCACTTACAAACGACTTTTTCGTAAAAACCCTCGTCCCTATTGACAAAAATTGGCATAGACAGAAACAGAAGTGCGAAATCCGGGCTATAAAGTGGAAGCATAAGAACCTGTCAATCAAACTCTCAGAGCTTCTAGGAAGTCACTATGTTGTTGTTTTTGTTGTTGTTTTTGTTTTTGTTGTTGTTGTGACCGCAAAAATATTCCCCAAAGTAGTGTGGTTCGGCGTTGTCCTGATAAAACAGAATTCTATTCCTGTTGGTCAAAACTGTGCGCTTCTAGACGATTGCTTCCTCCGAGACTGTCCATTGCTGACAGTACAGACCCGAGTTAAGAGTTTGGCCATAAGAGAGCTGCTCATAGTGGATGATTCCCTGCCAAAGTTATCAAACACACAACAAAACCTTCCTGGCCGTCAATCCTGGCCGGCTCATTGTCCTTCGACCACAACCGTTTTCTTTTGACGTGGCTGTAAGTGATCCACTTTTCATCACCAGTCATCATACGCTACAAAAATGAGTCGATAAGGTTACGATTCAGCAATGATTCGCAGATGGAAACTCAGCCTATGAAGTGTTTCCTCGTTAACTCATGTGGCTGCCATACATCGAGGTCTTTGTGTTGTCAAACTTTTATCAAGTTGTTTTGAATAGTTTTTTGTGCGATGTTTACCTTCTGGGCAAACGAAGCAGTGCTCGAATAATGGTCCGATTCGACGATTGACGAGCATCTTTTACATCAAAATAACCGGAACGAAATGGATGAAACCAAAGTTGTGCCTCATTTACTATTTCAGTATCAGGATCATAAACACTCTTCTCATTGTCAGCTGAAAAATTGTTGAATAAAGCGTATTAAGGTACAGAAATATCACTTAAATACTAGTTGAGAGAAGCTCGCCGCAAACGCTCAAACATTTCTGAGCCGACTTGAAACACGTGGAATAACTGATCGGCCCTTATTAAATTTGCGATTCCGTGGTTCGGCGATTATGTTAGCCTACCTGACCTATTTTTCAATTTTTCACTTACTGTTTAATTTTAATGAGATTTTGTTTATTTTAAATTTTTTCGTGTCTGACGAACTCATGAACTGTTTGTAAGTGCTCAAATATTTGTGCTTCAGCGTTTGTAGAATCTTTTGAGAAATTTCGTTATGAACGGATTTACACTTAATCGCATGAAGTAACATTCACTTTGAGCTTATTAAATAAAAAAAGTACAAACATACATACATATGTAAATAAATGCTTGTACATATGTACGTGTGAGTATGTATAATCTAGCACCTTTCACTTAGCCACTCATAAGATTTAATAATGCATTAAATAAGTTTTATTGTAAATATGTATATATTTAATATGCCTACGCAATGTTTTAACTCGAAATAAGTGTTCTTTCAAATACGTGTATGTATGTATTGAATGTATGTTTGTATGTGCGTAAAATTCTTTGCGCGCGCGAGAACCATTTCTTCACATTTAAGTGTGAGCTGTCACTTTCCGAAAAATATTTTCATATCAATGTACATATCTATGTACATATGTATGGATGTGCGTAGACACTATTTTGCATTTTAACTGACAGTTTTAGTTCAGTTAACGGCGTGTCTTCAGCGAAGCGTAACGTGAATATAAATTCGAAGTGAAATCCAATTAGTGTCTCTCAATAAAACGATGGCTTTGAGAACGGTTCTCGTGGCGCTCTGGCCATTTTTGCTGTGTTTCGATTTTGTGTTTACAACAAGTTTCTATACTGTAAGAAAACTTAGGCAAGCTAGACAAGCTAGGACATTGACATATCTGCCCACTGCACCCACACGTCTACAAGTAAGGAACTGAAGGAACTCATAAAACTTTCGCAAGTACTGTGGTTAACTCTTTTCTTCTGTTAATAAAATAAACATAATCACAACTAAAAAAAAAAAACAAGTAGCAATAACTAACTGTGTGGCAATTAGAAAATGTTTGGTGGAAATTTAAAAAATAAATTAAAAAAATATGAACTGTGGCAACCTGGTGGGATTTTTTTCACTAAATAATACTAAACTTAAAATATTAACAAACAACTAATCTAGTAAACATTTTGTGTACTAAAATGAAAGTGGTAAATTGGTGTTGTGGTGGTGTGAGAAAATTATTTTTTTTTAGCAAATATTAATCTTGGAGACTTTTAAGCTTTTGTGCACAATTATGCCATGAACAATTCATTTTAGCGAATACTTTTTAACAACTAGAAAAATTGTTCGTGATTTACACCCGAAAATAACTAGTTACATCCCACTTCCCAGCGGCCAGAATAGCCGATTGACTAGAATTGCGCACTATCATTCGACAAGTCAAGGCACGAGTTCTGGTTTAACTATCACACGAAATTATTTTATGAGTACAATTCCATTCGGCCCGTTCTTAGAAGAGGGCTCAGTCTGCAAGTTGTGGTCAATCTTGGAAGCGAGCACCTATTTCAATTTCCATTCATTGCCCATCGGACAATCTGACAACAATAAATAGCCAGCATCAGCGTCTACTTCTGATAACAACATTGTTTTTTTTTCTCTCTGGGAAGCCGGGTTTGTCTTAAATAAACAGCATTTATGAGAAGTTTTGGTTTTGCGTTTTAATTGGAAGATAAGTGCTGCTGAAGCCCATATGCATAGATCGATAAGTCATGCAGAAAGTGGTTTCGACGTTTCAAAGAGTCTCTTGACCAGCTTAAAAAGTTTGAAAATGCGAATTTGAAGCCTTTACTGGATTAAGATCCGTTGATGCGAAACATTATCGACCACAACTAAACCATTTGGAACGCTGAAATGGCAGGTTTTATCCCATTCGTCATATTCTCTTTTTCGACGAATGCAAAACGATTCGGGGTGTAACCGAATATCAATGAACAAAGCGATTATAAAGAGGACTAATTTTTTAGGGATGATATCCGAAAATTACCAGAGAGAAGAGGAAAAGCAGTCGCTTGGAACGAATAATGCTTTGAATAATGTATTTTTTACTTTTTATTGTTAAAAAAATACTTTTTTGAACATAAAAAACGGACCGAGTTAATTTGTTGCTCCTCGGCGGTAAATGTCAAACCAAGCCCAAGCGTATTTCTGATTATTATTAATCCGAAATCCATCGGCTGTTTGGAGGCAAAACATCTAGACCCACACCAAAACTTCGAGGAAAAACTCGTCCACAAATTCTATTCAACGGTTCCAAAGCGACATTTATATATTTGATATAAAAAATTAAAATTTCTGAATCGGTAGAAGATTTTCTTTAGCTCCATAACACATTCTCACAGCGTATAAGTGTGAAATTGAGAAGCCAAACGTATCATTTTACACTTAAATTTAGTTCTGTTAAAAACACAGTGTACGAATTGCATGTGATGTCCTTTTGCTCATCCTTAAAATTTTAGGAAAGATGTGGTTTGCTATTAAAGACGTTGATCCCTATGTAAGAGATCAAAGTCTAGGATTTCAAAAATATTCAAGGGTATTCCGACAGTCTTCTGATTTCCTCATCACATAGCGCAAGCTCTGGCGTCTTCGTGTTGGCTGAAAGTAAGGCATATATGGTCGCTTAGCTGTCGAGATTATATTTATATAGTCTTGCTCTGTTGCTATTTTCATAACAAATACTTCGGCTTGAAAGATACAGCGGTAGTTTGAAAACTTAAATGATTATCTGGTATCTAACTAGGCGCAGTAAAGTGCCGGTCTCACCTTCCCATTTAATTTAGAACCATCTAAAAAGGTATGCAGAGCATTGTCTCGTTTTTCTCCAAACCTGAGTCCTTCTTCTCATTAAAATGATTCAGAAAAACTTTCAAAGTCACCCGCCAAGTAAAGGTAATCTACTCGTACTCTTTACAGATTAGAGCCGTCTATGTGTGGAATATATGAATGACAAGTTTTGAAGGATAACTTTTTATGACGAGGAAAAGCTAAAGATCTTTCAATTTGTTGAGAGAACAATGAGTAGAATAATATAATATTTAACAGTCACATATGGTATATCTGATAAGAACTCCCCAAGTGGTGGACCAATTCAACATAACCTAAGCTGTCGTTCTCAATTACCCACAATCATTGTAGACCACAGAGCCTTGACATTATTATGGAGGGGGTGATGTTCTTATTTTATGGCCTCCCTTATCCATTCGGATTCGAAGTGATGAACCCGTGTTTCCTGCATTCCTGCATGCTCATCTCCTCCTCTGGTCTACTCGTCTTACCCAAATTAGAGAGAACTTGATGGTAAAGAGCTACTCCTTAGGTTTGAGCGTCTCAATATATAGACTTCATTATATTTTTTTTTTAATTTGAAAGCTTGAATCCCACTCTCTTCTTCCGGCATTCGCTTCATGCTTTCATTTTCATTTACCCTTGAGAGTCAGAGCTCTGTTAGTTTTCAGTACAAATCTAGATGAAGTAACCACATTTTCCGCACTTTCTTGGGGATTTTATGAAGCTGCTTCTTTGTATTCACATCCTCCTTGCAATTGCAGTCTTTTCAATATTCAGTGAAGGTCAAAATATCCAATTAATACCATACACGCGCTAATAATAAAATGATTCATATGTACAAGTAGACTTTAAAAAATATAATGTATTTAAACAAAATTACTAAAATCTAAGCACACATTTTGATCAGCTATTTTCTCTCTCAAATCTTCACATCTGCATTATTATTTACATCCGCTTTTGCTTCTACCTTTTATCACAAATTATTTAGTTTATCGGTGGCATTGGTATACCTGTTGAGGATTTAGCTTATGAATCGGTTACTTCTGGTTACGTTTTAAAAGCGGAATATTTTCTGCCCGAAAAAGCGGAAGATTATACACCAACATATCTGAAGCCGCAATCGGTAAATAGGCGTAGTTTCGGTGATAATGAGTATGACAATAGCACAATTACGCATGCGCATGCGCATGATGCAAGTAGCAACGCTCTTAAGCAGCATCATGCCAATTTCCATACTAATTTGAAGAATAAACAGAAAACGGCTTCGACATATCGTTGGCTCATTTACCGAGCTATGGAAATCTTAATGGATAGGTGCGTGTAAGATTGTAAAATATTATATTTAACACACGTATGTATGTAAGAGCATTTTCTTGAATTTATTAAAACCCTTTCCGTTCACACAGAGCGGGCCTAGCTGGGCGGGAGTGTATGCTGCGCAGCATTTGTGAACACGCTGCGGTACCATTACATTATGACAGTGGAATTTTGGGAGAGATATTGCACATTATTTTGACGTAAGACTGAAAGAAAAACAACTTCTTTCTATTCCATATTAATTTATTTATTTTTATACTTTTATTATATTCTAGTTTATTTTATTATAATATAATTTATTTTATTACATTTTATTTTATTTGATTTTATTTAATTTAATTTAATTTAATTTAATTTAATTTTATTTTATTTCATTTAATTTAATTTAATTTAATTTTATTTTATTTTATTTTATTTTATTTTATTTTATTTTATTTTATTTTATTTTATTTTATTTTATTTTATTTTATTTTATTTTATTTTATTTTATTTTTATTTTTTATTTCTTTGTCTTTCGTTAAATCCATTTATTTAAGTTTATTGCTTTTCGTTTTATATAATAAAATTTATTTTCTTTTCCACAGACCTTCTCGCTCTCGCGATGAGTTTGGCAATCCCAATGACGGAGATTATGGACGTGCAGAGCGCATTGGTTGGAGCGGCGGAGACTGTGAAGCGGCTTACACTGCATGTACCTACGCACCGATAGAGCTTATTACAACTATTTTCGAGCTGAAAGATTGAATGATAATGCTTTTGAAATAGATTAAAAACAGGTTCAGGAAATAGAAGAAATGTTTTTTCGTTCTTTTATAGAGAAACTCAGAGACACGTAAGGGAACAAATGGTTTTTTATACATAAAATTGCACATCAGTCGACTTTTTCACGCCCATTATGATATCTAGATAAGTCGAGTTACTTAGAGCGTAAGCCTAGATAAGAGTAATCCCAATCTTTAAAAGAGACGCTTGACTTTTTTCACTTAACTCTCCTATATTATAACTAATATGATATAATATTTATAATAGTTTCGAACACATTATGAATTACACAACAACACTTAGAACTTAAAATAGAAGGTCTCTAATGTCAAGGCTTGTTTTCCCTACAATCTCTCGATGTTTGGCTGATCAAATGTTCCAAGAGATGTCATTGCTACCGAGTTACTCGAAGTGCCCTCAAATCCATCATTTGTGCTGAAGTTATGTTGTGCTGTGCGATTTCGGCGTCGATATATCACAGTGGCCAAAAGAAGACCAAGGAGTAGGACCAGAATAATAGTTATGCCAACGCCAAGACCGATAGATGCGCCAGGAATAACTATTGGGCAATAATATGTAAATTAAAAATAGAGAAATATGAAAGTTTAGTTTGTGAGAAACCTTAAAGTTTTCTTTTGTAAGACCGCCTACCGGATTCACGTAGTCGCAGTGTAAAAATCGATATACGTTTGTCCGCATAAGTGACAAATTGGCATTTCCATGTACCGTAATCCTCGGCGAACGTTTCCTTTATTTGCACCCCACAATCGCCCCACAGCAAGCCACGTCCGAAGTATCTCACATGCCTTGAAATCACAGAGAAAGTATAATTAGCTCGAGATGCAATCTAAAATTCGTGTACAAGTCTTACCCCGCAGTTTTGATGCTGTGCGCTGTACCCACCAAGTGTACACGTCCAAGTGGATCAATGAATGCACAGTGTGTGAGCGGTTCTTCAAAAGCGCTCTGGCACATTAACTCTGCCGTCTTACCACGTCTCAATTTAAGCGATTCGGTGATCACTTCACCGACCTTTGGTTTGACTATCACCTAAAACAGTAGTCAATAGATGTAAGTCAGTGGCAGCGATTTACTTACTCTATAGTAACTAACCTCAAAAATCTGCAAAACTTCCTTGGCATAGTCATGTCCGCGTGCACCACAAATCCAACTGCCAGCCATTACCGGCATATTGCTGAAGTGGCATTGTCCATAAGTACGCGTGCGCTCAAACCGTATGGCATCCGGAAAGTAAACTGTATTATTCGGATCACGCAAATAACAATCGTCTATAATGAAGGGCACCTCACATGTAAAAAGGTCGATGCCTTTGTCTGTATCGTAAACACTGATTTTTTTAATCTCTTTGACCGTTTGCAGTTCCTCAGCCATTATGACTTCTTTTGGCTTGCCGATGTAGAAAAGACAACCCGTGGGCGGAGCTACTTCTGTATTGTAAATACGCCATAAGCCCGACTCTGATTCTGCCAAGGGTTTCGGTATTTCCAAAGCACAGCGCTGTTTCGTATACCTGGAATGTGAAAGAGTTTTACGAAAGTTTTTTGTTGTGAAGTTGAATTGTGCTTCCGAGCTAGGCTAGTATCAAGTGCCAAGAAACCAGCGTACTTCACAAAATTTCCGGAGCTCGAATGCTACATATAGATTCAAAGCCAGGCAACTAACAGCCAAATAACCTGAATCATTTCTTCTGAACAAACTGGGTAGTGAGGTGGAGGACAATCGTGAACATTTTGCCAGTGCTTTCGAGATCATGGAAGGGTTTTGGCGTGCCACTCCCCAGTATAGCTCTATATAAGAGACTTACTCAACACAGATGCTAACTTAAGAAAGACGGAGGAGTGTGTGTTGTTAGAATTGTAGTCGATATAGGTTAAAAGACAATTTTTCTTTTCAAAAAGAAAAGGAGATCTTCTATTAGAACAATCCTTTCAACAATCACGTCCTTATACATGAGACCACGATGACAAGGTGAGTTAGGAAATATAACTCGGGAATGGAAGAGACCAACCTGAATAAATACGAGTTTGAACTGCTCCAGTATTTATTGTAGAGTACAAATTTCGTATCACACAAGAGCGGTAAAGACTCTCTGAGGATATTTATCTCTAAGCTGCAGGGTATAGTACTAGATGAAATATGATATATGGACCTTCAGCGAAATAAATACTTATGCTATGCATATGCCCAGCCTTAATTAAATCGGCGGTATGCTCGAAGGTTTTGTACATGTTCTGGGAATGAAATGTCGCTCCACACCTTGATTGAAATTTCTGTTATGCGAACGGAAATGTTAGAACCTTATTGTATTGGGGTTAATCCAAGTACACCTACGATGACTTAAACCTTTACTTCCTCCATCAGCTCATTATAATTTCACTCCGTGCTGCCACGAAGTGGTAAAGTAGTCACTAGTAATCTGGGTTTACTCACAACGTATCATAGGCCGAGTAACGTCCATTATACAATCCCTCCATAATATACAGCTCACTTTCACGTCCGGGTGCTTCCGCTTGGCAGCCATGTAGCTCACCACCAAACTGGCAGCGCAACACAAAGCTCTCATCCGTCTCCGTCACACTGGCCGTAGTGTACAAACTGCTATTCTTCACCTCGACAATTATACGCTCATGACTCTGCGTCATTCGTCCCCAATTTCTAGTATAACAATCGAATGTCCGATTCGGCCTCACATGTGTATAAATGCTGCATGAATTCCACACCTCATTTTTCTTATGATCGATAATTTTGCATTGCTTCACTGCCAAATCGGGCAAACTACACGAGATAGTACCATCGCCTATAGCCAATTGGACGCTGGTATTTACGTGTTTCTTGTGCATTCCCAGTATGGTTAGTTTCAATTCACCTCGTTCGTAATCGCCGTAAGGGTTCTCAGCTTCCAACTGCCATATGCCCGCCGAAGCGGAGGATACATTGCGCACACGTATACCGCATATGTTGCCACTGAATGGTAGTACCTCCTCATCACGCGCTGTGACGATCGCTTCAACGGTGCTCAAATCGACTTTAATTTTCTCCTCAGCTATGAATGAGAGAGACTTCTCATAGTAAGAGCGTGTGTAAATATGTATGTAAGTAACAGCAATTGTTTACCTTCGAATTTCAACCAGCAATTCTCGATCGAACCAAAAGACTTTGGTAACTCCAGATAGGCTGTGAAACCCTCACCGCCCATTATCGACAAGGCATCACTAGGCCGTATTGTGCCGGTGGAAAGACGTACTGTAGCAAAGATGAGCAACAGAAACTCATTTAATTTAAATTGCATTTCAAAAATCAATTTCACACTGTGAAAACTCTATACATATACTCGTATGTACATATATTTCTTATGCAGCGTAGTAAGGCGTAAATACCGTCACGTCCACTGATCTTCACTGCTCAGCTAGAAATGACTGCCAATACTCATATGCTCTATTAGCGGCGTACTGTGTTGTCAGTGAGTGAGTATCGGTGTGTGTGTGCGCATGCGAGCGCATTCAAAACCATCTCGACGAGATCGAATTGAGAAGGCGTTAATCAGTTAACACAACAAATAAATAAATAAATACAAAATGCCAATAAGCCAAATTTATCGTAAGTGTAAAGTCAAGTAAAGACATATTGAAACTCAAATAGACAAAGCGAAATCTGCATTAGACTCATTCCTGAAGCCAAAGCCGCTTGGGTGGCTAAATAATAGACGATTTATCGTTAAAGCGAAGCTTGGTTTGAAAATACTTAGTATGCCTTTGGGCAAGATTTTCAAACCTTAAGATAACGTTTTTTTACTTGGAATACAGATATTTTGAATTAAAAAACTCCCTCAAAAACTTACCTGCGAGTATTGCGCTGGTATCCGATCACCAACTGAATTTTAACATTTCTTTTTACTTCCCTGCTAAACGTTAAAGTTAATGGTTAACCCTTTAGACCGACCATTTATCAATTTAAAAACTAGTTCTAAATGGAAGCCCTTTAGTTTCTAATTCAAATTACCTCTCCGCATTGGGCGATTTAGCGCTCACTCAGGAGAATATCGCCGTATAACTCGTACAGCTCATCGTTCCATCGTCTGCGGTATTCGCCGTTGCCAATGCGCAAAGGACCATAAATCTCACGCAAAATCTTTATCTCGAAAACTCCTAACGCCGTCTCATCAGATGCTATCATCGTCCATGCTTCCGCACCACATAGCAGGACGAGAACGATGAGGGACTTGTAGAGTTTGGTTTTCGTTCGTCGGCAGAGGACTTTACTTTTCTCTTTGTGTCCTACACGAGTCTGCTCCGATCTTGAAACCTTCCGTAAGTCATCGCATCTTTTCGTAGAATTTTCAAAAATATAAAGATGCATTTTTTCATTCTAAACTGCTACGAGGCTACACGTTTCAAGACTGCTGGAAATCAGTACATACGGGAAGAGTAGTTATAACGTTATCCACGCCTGACTGTCGGGAAGCTGCTGTCTGTGAATGGCTGGAGCAAAGGTCTGAAGTTTTCCAACAAAGCTCAGCATATTTTGATTGATGGTTCTAAAATGAACGACGGACTAAAGGCTCCAGTTTACTGGGTTGCCCCAAAAGAAACCGACGAATTATCATACAGACGACGTTGACAATTTTTTTTAACAGCTTCTGACTACTTAATTTTATTTTTTCTTTTTACAGTTATAAGCTGTCACTTTTAGTTTAATTTAGAAAAGAGGTTCGCGTAATTTTGTTTATATTTGTTTGTTTGGCCTCAATTTCAATATGGAGCTCACAAAGGAACAGTGTCGAAGTTGGTTTGTTAAATTTCGTTCGGGAGATTTTTCACTCAAAAATAAGCCACTTTCAGGTCGGCTAAGTGAAGTTGGCAATGACGATAACAAGACTTCAATCAGTTCGGATTCTCATGAGAGTGAGATTGGAGAGAGTTAACCCTTCATAATCAACTACAACATCTTGGAATGGCTTATTTGCAAGACCGTCAATCGCAAACAATCACAGTCCAAGCGTGATGACGCGCCACAAACGACTTCAAAGGGGGATATTCACCAAAAGAAGATTATGCTGTTAGTTTGGTGGGATTGAAATGGTGTGGTATATTTAGAGCTGCTTCCTAGAAACCAAAGGATTAATTCGGGCGTCTACTGTGAGCAATTGGACAAATTGAATACATCCATCAACGAGAAGCGGCCAGATTCGGTCAATCGTATAGTTGTCATATTCCACCTGGGAACTGTTGATGCATCCACCATATAGCACTGACCTCACACTTTCAGACTACCATTTGTTCCGATCTTTGTATAACTCATTAAGTAATAAAACTTTCGAAAATGACGAGGCTATAGAACCGCACTTGGTTCAGTTTTTTGGGGATAAAGGACAGAAGTTCTATGAGCGTGTAATAATGATGTTGCCGGAAAGATCGCGAAAGGTTATCCAACCAAATAGTAATTAAATAATTGATTAATTATAAAATTAAAAAAAATGTTGTATTTTTTTAATAAATTTCCGGTTTTTAAGGTCATTTAAGCTACCCGAAATCTTTTTAGAGTCTTCCAAGCCGAAATAGTTGCTATAAAAATGGCGGTAGAGCAGGCCTTCAAACGAACCATAAAGGACCATAACTTTCATACAGCACAAAGTCGACTGTAGTTGCATTGTGCTAAGAGCCAAGTCATATGGGCAAAGTAGACAGTAAAATAGCAGATGAACTGGAGTGTCTTTTGAGAACAAGACTTAATTTTAAATCTACCACTTCCACTCAGGAAAGTGATGCAAGCGCAAGAAGTAATTTTGCTTCGTCAGGAGAATCGATTTTGGAAAAGACTGCATAATCGCGAGAGCTAGGGGCCAGGCACATGATGATAAACTTTTCTAACGAAAAAAAGCTGCCTTTCATCTAGGTCTTGTGGAGAAGAAGAACCGAATGTGTGGAAACAGTGGACTATGACGGTATGACAGTTGGCAGATAAAGGCTATACTTAATAAGCGCAGAAAAACTGTAAGACGAGCGGTTAGCTCTACGACCGAGTTCTTCCTCAAAATAGACCTATAGTTTATTCTAAGCCACTTTCGAACGGATGAACTTTTTATTTTATATCAGAACTACACTCGGGGATGTGGGCATTCCCTTGCGTGGGTCAGCGAATGTGAGAATACAATCCTCAAAGCGGCCTTAACCTTTGCCTTAACCCACCATGTACATAAAGCATAATTTACAAACAATGAAGCAAACTCGATTGTGTAGTGATAATTATGACGGTTTATCACTTGTGACAAAAAAATTACCGCTTTCGTGAGATGAGACACATACATATGTACATGCATATATGTATATATGTATTTAATAAATGCAGGTTAGAATAAGTAGAAATATATCCTTCAAAGCTTCGTAAACTCTTCTCTAGAAAATACTGTAACAGAGGTCATCGTAACTGTCGGTATCCACCTCATATCGTTTAGAATCAACCGAGGCATCTAATCGGGAGCTCGAGAGTAGAGGTGTTTCGACGTAATAAGAAGAGAGGTGGTTAAAGGGTTGAATATCGAGTGTGGGTAAAAACGAGTTTGATCTGTGAGAATACTCTGGCATAACTCGAGCTCTTCGCCTGTTCAATTATCCTAAGTTTGTAATGTATCTCAGCACAGTTTGCTCGTATGGACAATTCGGTTGAAATCGTGTTATCTGAAGTTTATAGCAGAGGTGGGGGGTGAGCTGGTGTTGTTGTTGTGGTTGTAGTAGCAACGACTTACAGAGGTTAGACAAGTTCGGACCATAGGGAGAGATTTATTAAATAAGTAAATTTTATTGGGTATAAAAACAGGTAGTTTCGAGTGGTGAATTGAATCTGCTATAGTACACAGACCTTAGTTGTGCCGGTAATACTATTCATCTCCTAAAGATGCGACTTCCACGAAAGCTGATTCCACGCTCAGGAGTCCCTCATAAGATCATGCGTTGCACTGGTTTTTGGCATTCCCGCTGAGGGCGGAAACCGAAATCGAAGGAAACAGTGAGAAAAAACTAAAGTAGCTGGCGTAGGCGAAATCACCGAATAAAATTCCCACTCGGCCGTCGTGTCTTGGAGAATTGGACAGAGACTGTGGTGATCCATAGAATGGTTGCATCAGAGAAATACCCCTCTCTGCTTTTTGTAGTTGATCAGTTATCGAATCATCTTACTGCGTTCCGTGATGAGTGGAATTCTTAATGATAAATCGTCCTCTTCAGTTGCCCACGACCGGGTTAAAACGGGCAGCTATGTCGTGACTGTTCGCGGAATTGGCATTCGGCATTTGGATCTTTATACTGGAACGATCCGGATTTTTTATCCGACTAGGGTTCTCGCTCCCGCAATATTACACGATAAATATTTTGCTGTTACAACAAGAACAACAACAACACGCAGTTGACAGTCGCCATTCGTTGGGTCTGTTGCAATGAAAACGACTTTAAAAATATTCTCAGCGTATTCCGTTATGCCGTAAAGCTTGTCAATCGAGGCAAATTCGTACAGAAATTCTGATGCGTGCATTAGCTTAGGGCGTCTTCGTTCGGAATGCAAAACGCTGTGAAGGTTAAAGTCTTCCAAACCCAATCAGTTCTCGAGCTTGACACTGCCTAACCTGTCGCTGAGATGTTGGGCTTTCAGCTCATTAAGTTGATTCAGAGCGAATGAGACGAACTGACTGAAATTGTAAAATTATAATTTAAAAATTTCTTACTATTCAAGGATTCTCTTCTTACCTTCCTTTACTTAGTTAAAACTAGCAAGAAGTAAAGAGTCAATAAAGGTGACTTACACTAACTAACCTCTCCCTAAGCGGGGCGAGTGAACGACTACAACCAAAACAACAACAAACCAAATCATTTAATCTAACGATTCAATAAAGGCGCTAAATTTTAAATGCTTTTTAACTATAATAATTTACAGAAACTATCAGTTGATGAAACATAAAAAACACTTCTATTTTTATTATTATTTTTATTTAAAGGTTATCGTTATGTTATAATTATTTATTTTTATTATCATTGTGGTTACTAAATTCTCCAATTTTTATCCAAAATTATGTATGTATGCATGTAATGTATTTATGTATAATTATGTGTGTATGTACTTGTATATAAAAAGAATAAACACAATTTCATTGCAATTTCTACAGTACGTAATTAAAAACAGACGCATCCTGTTCGTTGGTGCCACGATTCGACGAACCGGAAGATTTATTTGAGCCATGTGCAATGGTCATTTGGTTGGTCTGATGTATAACCGATGTGATGTCGCTTTGCGATGCTGATATATCCTTGCTCGTCAATACATCTGAACTACTCGAACCGGAAGAGATGTGCCGCTCTGTTAATCCATATTGTATTGGTTGATAACCGTGACTGGGATTATATGTGGCTGAGTATGGCATGTAGATAGGGGGATTCGGCAGTGGTCCAATGTCACTAGTAATACTCTCCGTATCGGCGTGACTGATGTTTGATCGACAATTGGTAGTGCGATCATCATTGACCACATAATAGCATTGCTCAGAGAATGTCAGTTTGTTAACGGTATGTTTTATGTAGTTGTTTCGTAGCATTGCCGATACAATACGACGTGCTTCACGACGATCCTGTACATCTTCAACATTTTCTGACACCCAATTGACAGCATCCGCACCAATAAATGCATTCGGTATGGTTATTTTTAACCACATACGATCTCTTATTTCTAAACCACTATCTGGTTTCGTCATAGCTTTTACAATCTCTTCTAAATTATTTTGATCCAATCGCTCTTTAATCGGCTCTGGTATATCGGGAATAATACTATCGTGTGCAGTCAATGCCTGAGTGTGTGCTACCCATGCGCCGGGATCTATTGGGCGAACCGGCTCAGTTCGTGGTATGGTGAAATAGCCTTTTGGGTTTGGATCCCAGCATTTGGCGACAACCAATTTGATAGGGCCTGGTTTTTGCACAACCTCACGCAGCACACGGACAGCCTCATCATTGGTCATATTTTCGAAATTTACTTCGTTAACTTGCAGTATCATATCGCCTGGTTCGATACGTCCATCTAACGCTACAGCGCCGCCTTTCATTATGCTGCCTACATAAATGCCGCCATCACCTCCACGATTTGATTGGCCCACAATCGAAATACCCAGGAAATTTACTGCCTCCATATTAATGGATACAGTGATGATATTTAATGACATTGTTGAATCGGTTATGGAAGAATAACTCGATGTCCGGGACATGCTTGGTGCACGCTTTTTACGCCTTTGCGGCTTTTTACGCACCTGCAGCCTTTGTACGCTACTGTAGTCGGTCATGTCACGATCAAGTGTGATTTCGGATTCAGTGCCAAACAAGCTGGTGGAATCCAAATCACTAGATAGCACTGAAGCAGACTGATATGTAAGAGTATGTTGCATCATTGGATTCGTTATAACCCCACTGTTCGTTATTCCTACGCCACCCATACCGCCAACGCCGCCACCACCACCAATTCCCATTCCTGTTATGCCTACTCCCATCATACCACCGCCAACGCCACCACCAACACCCATTTTCTGTTGTTGTGCACCACCACGCATATTGGGACGCACCTCGCATTCACTAGCGGGTAATTCAGAGCAGTTATCAGATTGATTTGTACCGTCAGCTGATACCAACCAAGAAACCACCCGTCCATTGAAACAAGGTAATATGGTGGAATCATCTGCAATCTCCTCTTTTACAACACCGAAATCAGCATCCATTGATTTGAAGAAATACTTGTAGTTATTATTTTGTTTGTTGAGCACCATTTTGAAGTCCTTTAGTGTAACCTGCGCCGAGGGTATGGGAATTTTCACCAAATAAGGGGTAGTCTCGTCATCAATATGATAGATGACTTTTGTTTCATGACTATTCTTATCTGCGTCCATTTTGTTGTGTGTTTGTGTGTATTTTTTGTAAATTCGATAAGTGCTGAATTTCGTTACTTGCCGACCGCCGTATCACTTTATACTTATAAAAATAATCGTTTTTCAATCACTTATTGTTTTTCGCTTTTATTTGTATCAATATATATAATATAATACCCCGACGAAGTTTCAAGAATTTTTTTCTTTTGGGTTGGGTTAACAGTGGGGCTTGGGCGCTGCTCCTCCGCTGCTTTTCACCGAAGGCGTTGCTCGCGTCGGAGCATGTTTTTTAGTTAAAAATAGCGACACTTTTCTACTCCGTATGAGGATTTATTGCAGAACGAATAACCAAACTTTAACTTATTGGAAAAATTTGTAAAACCTGCTTTTCTTATTGTTTACAAGTACTTTTTTACTAATTAATTGCTGGAAAAAATATGCAGACAGCGAAAAGGCAGCAAAACTATTTGACATTCCGAATTTGTAGTCCACATTGTGGACGTCAAATTCACGGTATACTTCGGGCATTGGTCCCATAACAGTGTTGGAATTCAAATATGCAGCAGATGGACATATCATACTCGTATATTGCAACAATTGGGTTATTATCCAATAGGTGGAATTAAAAAAATTAAATATCGGAAGTATCACCCAAATATATCAATTGCCCAACTTATTTATTTCCTTTTAACAGAATAACAAAAGCGGATTCAATAGTTTTTCTTCTATATTGCATTCCACATATTCGGAAACTTTTTCGGTACACAAAAAGAGAAGCAATGAATGATATTTGGACGTAGTGCTCACGCTTCTAGATTTTTATTTGAAGCAGAATTAGCTTCCGGAAAAACCAATTAAAACATCGTAATTTACGAGAAGACCATATAACACATTGACAGACCATCACTAGATCCAGAAAGGCATACCGTGTGCTGTTCCAACGTAGACAACATCCTAAGCCAAGTAGCTAAGGGTTAGTTTAAATAATGTAAGAGCACACGTAGCCGAGAGAGCAGATAATTGGAAGGAAACGTTATTTTCTTTAGATTAAACAATTATATTGTATGTAGTAAATGGATTTGGAATGCTACCAGATAACCGACCGACATTCAAAGACATTGAAAGTTAATTTCTCTGAATGCGTTCGCCCCTCGGAAATGAAAGCCCTCCGAGAGACAGCTTGACATGAAAAAAAAAAAACAAATTTGGAGGCGGATTAGATTAAACAGTCGGTTAATATAAAAAAAGTAAATACATTAGAAGATAGAATTTTATTAAGATTATTTTTAAATTAGAATAAAATATTTTTGTTGAATATATTACAGGAAATATAGGCACTGAAAAATAATCACGTGGTTCATGGAAAATCCCAAAGTAATTTATTTCATAGTTTTTCAAGCTAATGAATTATAATTACCGTATTTCGTTTATGCATACTTTCAGTTTTCATGGTAAAATCTGTTTAATGAAACGCAACTCTGCGCTATCGTGAAAGTTTTATAGAATGCAACTTTGCGTATACCTGAAAATCGAACGGTACTGTGGATTAAATTGGCAATTTTTTAGTTTTTATTTGCTTGTATTACAAAAAACTTAAGGACAAAAAAATTTTTTTCTTATTCAAGTATTTTAACAGTGGTTTTCTTAGAGTACGTTGCAACTATTTCGCAATTTATTGTTTTTCTTACTCTGTGTCGAAAAATACAAATACTTAGACGCTTCAGGCGTATAATTCCATATTTTGGTACGTTTTTATTAACGCGTGGAATTGAATTTAATGGTGCAACAACCAACAACCAGGTTGAACAGTTCATTCAGTTCATCGGATGAAGAGAATGGAGTTATAAAAGGACACCAAATAATTTATTGCTGTTCTAATATTTTTCATTTCGTTGTTTTAATTTGTCGTAAATTTTTCTGCTTCTATTTTTTTTAGGCTGTGATTGACCGGTAGAGAATCCGTAAATATGGGAGTACCAAAATTTTTCCGCTACATCAGCGAACGTTATCCATGCCTGAGTGAATTGGCAAGAGAGCAAAGTGTAAGTTTTATTTAACTAATATTGTTTCATTATTCTAATTTATAGTAACTTTTGTTGTCTTTTTATTAATAAAGATTCCGGATTTCGACAATCTTTATCTTGACATGAACGGAATTATACACACATGCTCACACCCCGATGATAGCAACTTTCACTTTACCATAACTGAAGAAAACATGTTTAAGGATATTTTCAATTATATTGATAAGTTATTCTTTTTGATTAAACCACAAAAGTTGTTTTTTATGGCTGTGGACGGCGTAGCACCCCGAGCTAAAATGAATCAGCAGCGCAGCAGGCGTTTTCGCTCTGCCAAAGATGCTGAAATATTGGAAGCGAAAGCAAAAAGTCGGGGTGAGGTGCGTGAAACTGAACGTTTCGATAGTAACTGCATTACGCCGGGTACAGAATTTATGACACGCCTGCATGAGGCACTACGCTATTTTATTAAAAATAAAATCAGCTCAGATCCATTATGGCAAAAGTGTAGGGTCATTCTGAGTGGACACGACGTAAGTTCTGACTTTTTGTTTTAACTGTGTCCATATATTTATTTTTTTATTTTATTATTTTTTAGGCACCAGGAGAAGGTGAACACAAAATAATGGACTACATACGTTACCTCAAATCACAAAAAGACTATGACCCGAATACGCGGCACTGCCTCTATGGCTTAGATGCAGATTTAATTATACTGGGACAATGTACACATGAGTTACATTTCGTAGTTTTGCGGGAAGAAGTAAAATTCGGAAAAAAGTCTAAGCAAACATCTGTTGAAGAGACACGCTTCTTTCTACTACATTTGGGATTGTTGCGGGAATACCTCGAAATGGAGTTTGACGAATTGAAAAAAGTTGATGACAAATTTAACATATCTGATCTTATCGATGACTGGGTTCTTATGGGCTTCCTTGTCGGTAATGATTTTATACCGCATTTGCCATGTATGCACATCTCCTCGAATGCTCTACCATTGTTATATAAAACTTATATAGAAGTTTACCCAAAACTTGGAGGTACATTTATATTACATTTATAAATCAATGTATTTAGTAATGAATTATTATTTTCATTTTAGGCAACATAAATGTACAGGGGAAACTAAATTTGGAACGGTTGGAAAAATATTTTGCTGCGCTTGCTGATGTAGAATTTCAAATATTTCAAGAAAACCATGCAGATCTAAAATATTTTGAAGCTAAACAGTCGAAAAATGGTATTGATGAAGCATTCGATTTTGATATAGCTGAAATCACGCCTGATAATCAAGATGCAGAACTGGCAGATTTAATAGAAAATAGTAGACAGGTAAGAGCTACTATCGTTCGCATATTGCTACTTTTGTCACTAACGATTTGTATGTAGTTTTTAGAAGATGACGATGAAGACTATTCCGATGAGGATCAACATATAGTCGATGAATTTGAGACATACAAGCGCAATTACTACATGAATAAGTTGAATCAAAACGATATGAATTAGTACGTGCGTTTAAATTTAACTGCATACAATAAATTTATAAATATACATTTCTGCTATTTTCATTGCAGCGAATCAAAACGAGAACAGGCTATTTGTTACATAACTGCATTACAATGGATTTTGGATTACTACTATAGAGGTGTACAGTCATGGGATTGGTATTATCCCCATCATTATGCACCTTTTATTAGTGACCTAAAAAATTTTAGTGATTATAAAATTGAATTCAACTTGGGTAAACCGTTCCTACCTTTCGAGCAGGTAATTGATAATGCATTAATAATAAATGTACTGCATGTAGGATTAAAAAATACGTATTTACAGCTCTTGGCAGTTTTGCCAGCCGGAAGCAGAGACTTATTGCCTGCTGCATATCGTGAGCTGATGACCAGTGACACGAGTGAGCTACTCGAATTCTATCCACAAGACTTTGAAACCGATTTGAATGGTAAGAAACACGAATGGGAAGCAGTTGTTCTAATACCATTTATAGATGAGGTACGTTTAGTTTAAATTTTAAAGAATTTGTAAGCTAATAGTTATATATATATATATATATACATTTAAATAATTGCACATTCATAGAAACGTTTATTGGACGCAATGAAAGCATGTGAAAAGGATCTTATGCCAGATGAAATTAAACGAAATCGACACGGTCCCATGCTGCAATATGACTATAATCCGGAATCACAAGGCAGCGTGCCAGGCATTTTCTCATTGAAAGCTTTATATAGCGTTTTCTGTACCGAAAAGAAGATTTGGTCTAAAGAAATTTCCATTCCGTCCAATAAGACCGTTTGTGTAGAGCTGGCCAATGCTGCACGTACAGTCTTCTTTCCTGGCTTTCCGACAATGAAACACTTAAAATATGATGTATGTAAATTTTTTTTATTTATAGTTTTATATTTCTTATTTACTTATCAATCAACAATTTTTTAGTTTGAAATTAAGTTTGCGCGAGTGCGTGTTTTCGAGCAACCAAGTCGAAACGAGACTCTAATTCTGAAACCACAATCCCGTAAAGGATTCGATGATCTTTTTAGCGTTGCTGGGAAGTTTTTAAATCAAATTGTTTATACAGGCTGGCCACATTTAATCAAGGCCAAAGTTGTTGGCATATCGGATAAAGAAAAATATATTGACGCGAATGGCATAAAAGACATGGAGCCTAAAATGTATCAATTGCATGTGAAAGCGGCACAAGAGCAGTAAGTGAATTGAAAACAACTTTATGAATGAATAAGTAAATGTTTGGTGAATTTTATTTAATAGAAGTTTTCAAAATTATATTTCTAAAAATTTAATATCAAAAAATGTTTCCACCTCTCTCTAGTCTTAACACACGCATGGGCATTGATTTTGATGATTATACGGTTTTGGTCCATGTACGTACACACATAGGCACCTCCTATAGTTGTGGCAATCAAGGCAAAATTATTGTTAATGATGCGTGGGGACAGTCAGTGACGGCTTATCCTGCACAGGTTTGTCTTGAGTACTGTTTAAAGCAGCAAAATGATATATAATATACGTATTAATTCACAGGGCGTGGTTTCTGAAATCGCGGTGCAGAAGTATTTTGTGGCGCAACCAAAAAAAGTGGAAAATCTTTTTCCTACCGACAGCACTGTATTTTTCTTGGGCAGCCCATACTTTGGTAGTGAGGGCACTGTACTCAATCCAATGCTGGTGTACGAATGTGGTCGTTTGAAAGGTATAGCAAATCATATTTCTATTATAAACTATTTTTATAACTCAGTTAATTACAGTCAATATAACTGTACTGCCGGAACCAGATTTTTCCGCAGTACGTTTGCTGCAAAATCGTTTGGAGCGCGATTATGTGAACTCTTTCCAAGCGGCAGCAGCAGTTGGCATACAAATGAAATGCCTCGGACGTGTGACTGGCACGGTTCTTGTGATAGCTGGCCCTAGGCGGAAAGAGCTGCCGGAGAATGTTTCAAAAGTTAATATTGGCCTACAATTTAAATTTCCTAAACAGGTGTGTGCTCGCGTTGATGGACGAAAAATTTCGGAAGTTTCTAACTGTGTATTATTATTATTTATTTTTTTTTAGCAAGAAGAACGCGCTGGTTATTGTCGTCGCATACAAAATCAATGGTATTATTCAACCAAAGCGATTGCGCTTATACAAGCATATTATGCACAATATCCAATGGTATTTGATTATCTTACTCGTTCATCGGAACGCAACGAATTTTGTTTTGAAGGTGACATATTTCCCAATGAAGTTGAAGAACATAAGTTGAATGAAGTTACTGCTTGGCTAAAGGCTCAGGAGCATGTTAAGGCTGATAAACGAATGTGTGGTTCACAAACTATGGAGAAAGAGGCCGTTGAGGGTGTACTTGAAGCTATCGAAAAACTAAAGGTGCGTGGTGTTGTGCACAACACTTCTTTTTGAAATAAATACTTTTGAATATTAATTGAAAAAAAAATAATAATAATTTTTATATTTTTTGCTGCACATTTCATAATATAAATGCCTTTAGACTCTACCTGTCAAGACTGTGAAGTTGCAAGTTAAGCCTCATCTGCTGCTTAAGCCCGACGTCACGCTGCCAAATATGTACACACCAAAGCGACTTGTGAGACTGTTCGATCGCGTTGTGGTGGTGAAAACAGCATATATGGTATGTTGTAGAGCTTTTAAAAATCTCCTTTTCCTTTATTACAATTATCAACATCATATAACTTCAAATAGGTTCCACTCGGCGCAAAGGGTACAGTTATTGGCATATATCCTGTAACCGATCCGAATCCGGTACGTTTAGAGTGTGTTAAGTCCGTTGAAATTTTCTTTGAGGTACTCTTTGATAAGCATTTGCCAAGTGGAAATGATGTGTACGGCATTGCACAGCAGCGAGTTTACAGAGTGTCGGAGTCTTCCTTGCTGCTTATTTACGCGCATGGTGAGAAACTAATTTACGGAATTAAATTGCTTTTATTTTTTTTTAATTTTGTTTCTCTAAATATATAGCTATTTCTTAATGTAGCATTTCTAATTTTCTAAAGATATTTTTTTTTTCCGAAATTTAGTTTTTAATAGAAATATTTCCTAATATTTTTTATTTATGATCTAAAATTATCACTAATTTGATTAGATAAAAATTGAAACTATTTGCTATATTTTTTTTAGTGTTTGTTTCCTTTTTTGAATCACATATTTATTTATTGGAATTTTTTATTCTCTTACTTTATATCATTTTCTTTTTTATTTTGTTTATCAACTATATATAAATATATATATTTTTTTAATATTCACAGATAATAAGCAAAATGATTCGCAAGATGCGAATCTAAATCAATACAGCAACGAAAAGTTTTCACAAAATAACAACAATGGCTTTGCACAGCGCGATATACAGCAACAAGAAAACCAACTCAATAACTTCAATGGTCCAAGCAGCAGTAATAATGCAAAAGTAACTATTCTACAACAACAAAATAAACAAACGCCCCTAGCACCTCCTGCATCTTCTCTGCCAACGCCATCCATATCGGCAACGACAACAACCACGCCAAATAAATATCAGAGCAGTGGCAGTATAAGTACGCACGATGATTTCTGGATGCCCGCCGCTGAAACCAAAGTCAAACATACTTCGATGACGAACGAATTGTCACTGCCTATTGCTAAAGCCAATAGCGTAGAGAAACACAACAATAAAACGCAGCGTAAATTATTCGATGCAATAACAAAACCGAATCCTGCTACATCGTTTACACCAGTTAAATTGGAAGAGCACGAAAGGTCTCTACTACAACAATCGCCTGTCGGCAGTACAGGCATAATCCCATCACCCAACTCAGCAACAACAACAACAACAAAGTCCGGTATTGGTGGTGCTACAAATGAATGTCAAGCTGAAACGCAAGCACTAAAGAGTCTACTTGGACTCGGCATGAACGCTGCAGCTATGCAACAACAGGGAACGACAAGCCCCGGCCAGCAGCCGACAAAGAAGCAACTACCTCAGCCGCCGGCTGGTTGGCGCAGTGATGCCAAACAGGCACAACAACAACCGGTGAATAATCGTCAGCATTATCCAGTTGCAAATAGGCCTGTGCAACCGATGCCGATGCCAATGCCAATGCCGTTGCAACCACTTCAGCAACAACAACAACCATCACAATCAACAGCACTCCTGCATTACGGCGGCGCTATGAATATGTTGCAACATCAGCCAATGCCAGCACCGCCTCCACCAGTACATTACAATAATATGGGCGCTTTCTATCCACCCAGACCACCACACCTAATGCGTCCAATGCAGCCACCAACATCACAAACGCCACCTTTTCAGGTTAATTTTAATTTTCATAATTAACATGCCAAATCGATGTTTAATATATTTTTTTAATTCCTTGTAGTTGACTCATTTTGCTAGCGATATGTCGCGCAATACGGCCAACGACCACATAAGTCAGAAAAGTGCGTTCATTCCGTTGCAGGTGATGCGTGGCAACGCACAGCAACTGTCTCAGCAGCAATGTCAGTCATCACCATACATAGAACGTCCAAGAGCACTCAATGCTGCAACTGTAACAGCAATAAGTACAACAACGACGCCTAACGTAGAGTACCTGCAAAGAAATGTGAGTGGCTGAGAAGAAGCAAAGCTTAAAAATAAATAATAATCGATTTTTCTTTTTAACTCTATCTCCTGAATGTACACGTAGCTCAACAATTTACAAATAAAATCAGAAGCATCGAATACCAATCTGCCACAAAATGAAGAGCTGCTGCAAGTGGCAGCTAATGAGAATACAGTTGCTGATATGACAAATGTTGACGCAGATATAAAAAATGATGTAAGAAATTTCTGTTGTTACTCTCTTATTTTAGTGTTTTTTTAATGTACACTTTCATTTCGGCAGCCACGACCGAAGCGTTCGCCACGCGTGCCGAAGATTGGTGCGAGATTTGACCATGCTCAGTGAGCAATTGCGAATTAAGCATTGAAATAGATTTGTTTAAGCTAAATTACGCAACTACTGTTTATTAAGTTGACAAAAACAGCAAATAGAATATTGTAAAAATTGCAGAACAAATGATATATGATGTACGTATGTGTGTAGTAAATGTAGAGCTCGATTTTAAACACATGCAAAACGCACATAATATTTTGGTTTTTGAATTCTCAACGCATTATTTAATTACTATAACTGTTGGTGAAAATTATGAGTATTTTTTCGATTAATCTCTGACTATTGTACGTAAGCAATAGCTTTTATTATCTAAAAAAGTTTTAAGGCACACTTTTATACACATATATATATGTGTTTATACTTAATAGAAGCATATATTTATAACTGACAACTCTTCTTTCTTCTTTTAAAATCAAGTTATATGCATAATTTGTATTATCACTAAATCTAGCGCCACTTAAGTTGAATCCAAATTTGTTTAAGTAAGCCTATTCTTCGATACATGTAATACTTAAATAGTGTATATTCATGCCCAAACGCAAATTTTGTAAACAAAAAAAAAATAATTAATACTTCTACATCAACATATGTATGTATGTAAATTATTTTAACTTGTAAAATTAGTTAAACTTTTAAGTGTTAAAAGCTATTTATAAATATGCATGTGTATATGTACATATATATTGAACTATGTTTGCATATACATAGTGGGTATTATATAAAACAATCAAATAATAATTGGGCGTAAAAAATTACAAAAAAAAAGAAGCAATTTGTTTTCATTTTACTTTAATCAGCAGTTTTATTGCAATATTTTTTATGCTTCAAAATATCAATTTTACTCAAATTATGCAAGTTTTTTTGGCATGACTCGCATGACTCGTTTCCATTGTCAGCTCCTGAGCTACCAGGGGTTGGTGAGCTTGTTTCGTGTGTCTTGCTTGATGAAGTATTCGGAGCGATACAAGCTGCAAGAATAAGAAATAGTAGAAAATGTTATAATTTTAAAAATTGACAAGAAAAATACACATTTTTCAACTCTAATCGAATTTTCAAAAGCTGCAGAAATTTCATTTAAATAAAAAATTTAATTATATTTTCTAATTGCGGTCGCTTCTCGGCAGGGAATGTCAACCCCTCCGACTGCATTCTAGACATGAAATAATGGTTCCTCATAAAAAACCAACAGCCATTCTCAGCCGGCTTAGCATAACTGTAGGTCTTTCCATTTGTTGGAAAAACATCAAGAAAGAAAAGAAATTTCAATATCTCAATAGAAAATGTTTACAGGGATTTATGTTTTAAAACCAAAATTGGTATAAAAATTATCTTTGGCCCAGAAATTTACTTGTTATTTTAGCAGTGATAATAACATAATTTTTGTACTCACATCGTTTATGCAACAATTTCTCAATAGTATCCAATGCGATTTCCATTTCGCAAGTTTTACACATCCAAGTGTGTTGCCGCATTTCAGCTTCCATACTTAAAGTCCATTGCACTTCTTGGAGACTGTGTGGAATAAAGAAAATTTTGAGCAATAAGAGAAATTTTTTTATTTATTTTTTCCATTTTTTTTATTTATTTTTTCAATTTTTTTATTTTTTTTTTATTAATTTTTTAATTTTTTTTTATTATTTTATTTTTTATTTTTTTATTAATGCTTTCATTTTTTTATTTAATTTTTTATTATTTTTTAACTTATGTTTTCACTTATTTATTTTATTTTTTGGTTTATTTTATTTTTTAATATTTTTTTATTTATTATTGATTTTTTTTTTTATTTTTTATTAACTTTTTTATTTTATTTATTTTTATTTCTTCCCATTCATTTTTTCTTGTTTAAATCATTTCTTTTATTATAATTTTTTTACTTATGTTTTATTAGTATTTTTTTTTACTTACTTATTTTTTTATTTACTTTTTTTAATTTACTTATTTTTGTTTATTTTTTTTAATTTTTTATTCATTTCCTTTTATATAATTATTTTCTTTTAGTTACGTTTTTTTATTTTCTTCTACTTATGTTTTATTTTTTGTATTATTTACTTATATTTTTTATTTATTTTTTTTAGTTTTATATTTATTATTTTAATTATTTTTTTTATTATTTTATTACACTGATTTGTTTTTTTTTATCTTTTTTAATTTATTTTATATTTTTTTGTTTTTCTTATTGTTTTTTTTTTTTGAATATAATGTTTTGTTTTGTTTTATTATACTTTCTTTTTTTATTATTATTTTTTATTATTTTTATCCATCCTTTTTTATTATTTTTTTACTTATTTATTTTATTATTATTTTTCTACTTATTTATTTAATTTTAATTTTTTTAATTGTTTATTTAATTTTATTTATTTACTTATTTATTTTTTTATTATATATTACTTATTGCTACTTTTTATTGTTAGTTTCTATTTCGTCTTCAACTCACCATCCATATACTACATTCTCCGCCACATTTATGCCACCTTTTTGCTCATTATGCGTAATCTCATAATCGCCAGCAAACGGATTTATGTCGAATTTCTCAAAATTACTTAGTCTCTCATGTGTGTAGAGTGATTTTAAATCGGCGGGCAGCAAACGCTTAATTGTATAACTCACATTTGCACTCATAAAATCAATAAGTGATTCCCAAAGCTCGGCCTCTTCATCTTTATCCCGTTTCTCCTTTTTCACACTTTGGCTCTCGACATTTTTGTCCAGGTCTTATGAATTAAAATAAATATTTTGGTTAGTAAAGGCAAAAAGAAAAGAAAAACACTGGAATTTCTTCGTATTTTATTTTAGAAAATTATTGATTTTAGAAATTTTATGTTTGGGAACATTTTGAGTATACAAATTTTATCATAGCAATATATTCTTACCAGTCAATTTTTGTGATAATAATTTCGACCAAAGCCTACGCAATTTTATAGCTCGACTTAGCAGCTCACAGCCCGTTTCTGGCACAGGAAAATCCAAACACAACCAAGAATCACATACAACTCGACTAACGGATGCATTTGTATCCACTGAATAGGAGAATAATAGCAATGCCTGTGCTGCGGGCATACGTATTGAGTTCATTAAATACGGCTTTGCAGTCTCCAGCAAGTTTCTGAACAAGTTGTTTGGAAAAATTTTTAAATTAACTACACAATTATACCAAAAGAACATAAAGCTTACTGATAACACAGCACTTGATGACGCGTGCTTAGCACCTGTTTCGGTGTATAGTAGCTCGGCTTGTCTAAAATATCGCTATCATTCAATTTGAGCACGTCGAAATATTTGGCGAAATACGAATTGGGATGTATGGATATGAAGGGTTTCAGGAAGGTGTGAAAAAACTGTTGACTGCCACTTTTACAATAATTAAATTCATCGGCTATTGCAATTTGGGGATAGAAACCGCTAACTATGATCAGTTTGAGTAGCAACACGTCACGCTGCTTGTCCGCTTTGGAGGAGTGCAGAAGTATCTCCAGTTTGGCGGTGTCATGTTGTAGACGAAAATCGACATTTCGTATATCATCACCTGCAGTAGCATCATCAAACTCATCTTCGCCGCCGTCGCCACCATATCCATGATTATGTTTGAGTATTTTTCGTTTACGCGGCTCTTGATACTTCTGTTTGCGTTTAATAGCTTTCAATTGACGCACTTCACCGTGACGACGCGCACGTTCCGCACTGCTCAACTGAGTGCCGTCCGCATTTTTACATGTCATATTGCAATTTTCGAGAATATTTTGAAATTGATTACGCAATTTGCTGATCTCGTAGAAACTGTTAAGGCAGAAGAACTCATTACATTAAACAAAAAAAATTATATAAAAAATTAAAAATGTTTAAAAGCCGAAGAAAAGATCTAAAATTAAACTCGCTTATAAACATTAGCAATTTTACATGCCACACCTACCGTTGTTCCTCGATGCCCAGTTTGTGACACCATTTTCTGGTATTCTCATTATGCCATTTCATCTGCAGCCACTCATGATAGGCGCGTAATAATGTAAATATATCGCCCTGATCGGACTGCAGAGCTTCACGTTCTTGCTACATTGCAACGAGTGTGATCAATTTTATATATTTTTTATAGTAAACACAAATACCAACCTCACACTTGCGATCCGTATAAGCGCGATTTGTAAAAGGATTCTGCACGCTCATCGTGGCCGCAAGTGTTAATATCTTCTCAACATCAGGAAAAACACAACCCATTAAAAGCATTTTCCCAATAGTGATTTCAACTGGTAGATTAGAAAGCGATTTGCCGAGTGGCGTGATTTTTTCATCAGTTGCAAGTGCATTCTGCAAAAAAAAAAATTGAATATTTCTTTCTAATCTAATAAATTTGAAACACTCACATGCTGTTTGAGCGACCAAATGGCTTGTTCAATACATTCCTCTTCCGGCGATTCAATAAATGGAAATGAACGCACATTTGGCAAGCCCATGGCAATCATTTGTAGTAGTATTGTTTCCAAGGGTACACGAAATATTTCTGGTGTCGGATATGCCTCGAAGCTGGCAAATTGTTTCTCAGAGAAGAGTCGAAAGCAGGTCTATAAGGAAACATATGCATATAAAAACGCAAATTAAAAGATCAAAATACTACACACAACTTACACCTGGTCCTGTGCGGCCGGCACGTCCTTTACGTTGTTCTGCCGATGATTTCGATACCCAAAATTCTTTTAAGCGTTGCCCTTTACACGATGCATCATAACTCATTTCCTTCACTTTGCCAGAATCGATAACAAAGCGCACGCCATCGACGGTAAGCGAAGTTTCAGCGATATTTGTGGACACAATACACTTACGCATGCCATCTGGCGCATAGTCGAATACCTATGAGTGAACAAAGCATAATTGAATAGGTACACACATTTACATATGGTTTGCTGGCTCACTTTGTCTTGATCAGCAAGCGCCAAGCCACTGTGTAGCGGTAATATAATCCAATGTGAGTTTTTCTCAGCATATTCCTTGGCAGCATCGCAAACAGTTGTGATTTCATTAACACCACTAACGAATATGAGAACATCGCCACGTTCAGTTGCTGGAAAAATATATTCAAGGAGTGAATTTTTTAAATGTTTAACTTTCAAATAACTTGCACTCACTTGGATATTTCTGATCGATTAAGCTTAAAACTTGTATGTATGGTGCTGGATCTAGGCGATTAGAGTTCTTCGCCACACTTTTACTACCTCCTGCGCCACCTTTTAACTCCAAGCTTGGTGGCGGCATGAACATAGTTTTAATTGGGTATAATCTACCAGGCACTTCTATTAGTGCGGCACCTTCATTTCTAAAGTAATTATGAAATAATTCCACATTTATTGTGGCTGACATAAGAATTAACTTTAGATCGGGTTTGGCGTGTAGCAAACATTTAGTGACACCCAAAAGAAAATCGCCAAAGAGATTACGCTCGTGTATTTCATCCAATATGAGCACATCGTATTGCTCCAAGTTCGTCTCCACAGCCAACTTAAGGTATCAAGAAAAAAATTTAGTAAATATTTCAAATTGCAGTCTATTTATACTTACTTGTCGTAATAAAAGACCTTCAGTAATAAAAAGAATATTCGTATTCTTTGTTTTGTTCTTTTCAAATCGTATTTGAAAGCCAACTTTAGATCCATAATCATCGAGCATTTCGTGTGCTACACGCTTTGACAATGAAACGCAAGCCAAACGTCGAGGCTGTGTGCAAGCAATGCTGCGATAACCAAATTCATACAAATACTGTGGCACTTGTGTGGATTTACCGCAGCCGGTGTCACCTGCTATAATAAGAACTCTTGTTTGTTTCAACTCTTCCTGTATTTTTTGCTTGAACGCGGCGATTGGTAAATTTTTTTGGGATTTGCGTAGTTTTTTAATCTTAGCAAACTTCTCTTTTTGCTTGAAATCCATGTAGGTGAGTATGATCTCCCTAAATTGACGTGCTTTAAGTTTTGTTAATACGCGTTCATCACTATTGTGACAACCACGCTTTAGTTGTTCGTAATCACTACCACGTTCCAATTGCAAGCCGATATACTTGCGTTTGTGAAATGGCTCCATTTCTTTTACTTTCGAATCTCGCAATGGATTGACAAGTATTGGTTGGCCTGCACTACGCAGCATACTTTCATATTTATTTACAAATTTCCAAAAATCTACCTCATCCTCTACAATCGAGGCCGAATGTTTGTCATCACCTTGTAGCAGGTGCCTAAAGCTGGATTTATGGTCACAAAAAGAAAAATTAATCAAGTTTGTTTCCTCATCTCGAGAGCTCGACTTTTTCGAACGCTTAGATGATTTTGACATTTTTTTATTCTCCTGTAAAGGTAAGCAGCAGAAATTGTTGTTGTCCTTGCAAGCGCCTACAAGTAGTGGCAACTGCCTTAACAAATATTCGTTATCACTTTATTTCGAAAACTTGCTCAATTTATATTTTAAGAAGTTAAATGATGCTATCAATAGATTATTTGTTAAATACTTCAATAAATAACAGCTGATCAGGCTTTTTAAATTTGTAAACAAAACATACAGCTGATTACGTCGTCGGCAACATCATTCACAATTAAAAAAGTGTCTTAACAAAAATCAATTTTAAAACATTAGTACGCGTACTGAAAGATTGGAAATAGTCATGATGAAATAATAAGAACCTTCGTGTACAATTTTTTATTGTATTCTGTCAAAAAATACTACCGTAAATTTTTTCTAGAATTAAAATTTTCGAGTTGTGTGGTTCTCCGCCATATATTTCTGAATATAAATTTGAAGAATTATGGCAACCACGCAGTTTTAGTTTTTATAAATGACTTACAAACATTTGCGTATTACTTATCCGGTTTTCCTTCTACATTTTTTTATTTTCGAATGTAAACAAATGTGTTATAGAGTCACACAGTGTAAAACTATTTTAATTAAAGAATTTTTGTGTTTACTTCAATGTAAATATAATAACAAAATACACCGAAGGCTCTCTTGTGACTTGTTATGCACATTGCACACCTAGAGCACATTTAATTCTTAGAATAGCAATACTGTGGCTATAGTCTTTAGAAAATGTCCCGACCCGTAAGACGTTGTCCAGTATCCCTGGCTGTGTTGGAAGAAATTGCTTTGGAGGGCTTAGAAGGCATAACTCTATCAAGTAAGTAAATTACATAAATTTTTCTTAGCGGGGTGTTTTGCATTATCTTCGTATTTATTTTCAGCACTGTGGTCTTATTTATGTGTAGACTTGGAGGTAGAACCTCCTTTGCCTTCAGATGTTAAAGATCGTATATGGAATTTCGTGAAACGCAATACACATCAATTAGATTTCTATGAATTACCTGTCGAGAGACCAATAATGCTATGTCAAAATCGTTTTTCATATGTGGAACCTGATTTTGGAATACCGCTTGAGCCGGTGCGATTTAGTGAACACATATATTTACTAAAAATCATTGTTAACGATTTTGTATTCATAGGATCCCAGCATATTTCTACGGTATAAATTCGTGCCTGTTGAGGATGGTGATGTACGCGGCTCATGTGAACACTACAAGGAGCGGAAAAAGATAGAATCTACCGAGGTGAACGACTTAAATGTCGAAGCTATTTTAGAGCGGTAAATAACTTATTTTTATATTATTTATAGTAATTGTATTAAATTTATTACGTGTATTCAGTTGGGGCAATAGATTTGTCATAGTAGCTTCACAAGAACTACGATATTGTGTGCTTACACCCAAAAACAAACCAATACCGCGAGATCTAACACTCTTACAATATTGTGTTTGGGAAGCCATTGGACGTTCTCGATATAACGGAGAGACAACGACGGGACCTTGTTCAATATACCCGATGTGCAAGGACTCTTCGGTAGTTTTTTATATTAAGCAAGTATCACATATAAAAATATATACAAATAATTATGGGGAGACAGTAAAATAATTTTTGTTGTTTCTTTAGACAAAGATTGATATATATTGGATTGATCGTGCAAAGCGCCTTTAATGAATTTCGTGATGATCGCCTCGTTGTTTCGTCTTTATTGAATTTAACGCAATATGTGCCCGAAATTACAAGCAATATAATATGTCTTATTGAAAAAATATATGATTTAGTCAAAAAGTCCGGCTACTTAGCGCTAACGGAGCTACGCAGTACAATCCCAATATTTACACGGAAATCCACATTTCGCAATCTTGTAATGACTCCATATTTTCAACGCGTTTTTGAAATGAAGGTAAGAGTAATTATGCTGACTTTTGTATAAACAAGAGTGCACAATATGTGTGAAAAATACATGTACATTAACAACGCCTCCACAGAAAGTATTCACGGGCCGACAAAGTTTAAAGAAAAAAGATGTCAGTGTTTTGGCGATAACATTAAAGAATCCGGAAACACCATTAGATGACCTAATAAATGAAGTGACGCAAATCGATAAAGAGGTCGGAGTTGATTTTACAGACGCTTTCGTTGATGACAAACACTCCTTTGTGGATATGCCAATTAGAGAAGAATTCTATCGCGCCGTTTTGCGACACGGCACACGCGGTTGCAGTCATACAGATCTAGGAAATTATTTGAGCGAATCACACTGCATAGTGCGGCAAATGGTTAAAGCGATGCTGCGCAGTGGGTTGATAATACCGCATGTCGTAGATGAGGGACGACAGCGTATACACAGGTGCGTATCGATGTACATATGTATGTATGTATATAGAAATCGCTTTGGCAAATAGTGTAAACCGTTAAATATTTGTTTATGTTATGCTTCACTTCAGATATGTGGCACTGGAAGTTATAAACGCACAGAAGTCCAATAAGGAAGTGGAAGTTGAGCAGCCAGAGGAAAAGCCTAAATTTGTCGATCTACCGGTATTTAAATATACATATTTATATCTGCTTTATATTCGATATAGTGTGACCGTAATCGTTCTTTATTTCTTCAGCCAATATCACATGGGGAAGATATCTGTAGTGTTGATTATGCACAAATCGAGTCCACTCTTGAAGATTACGTGTACAAGGAAAAGCTATTTCGCGTTGTTTTCACTAGCCGTCAACAATATCGACGCGATTTTATAGTTCGCCAGTTAAACGAGTCGTATGTAATGTCAACTATAACATTGCGTAACCGATTACAGGAAGCAGAACAAAAGCTGGGGCACAAAGACGAAATGTGTTTTAAGTCGTTGGCACGAATTTTTATGGAGATGAAGAGAAGTGAGAATTTGAAAATTTATGAAATAACTTTAAAATATAAAGGTCATACACGCACTCACCGCTATGTGGCACATCCACAAATCGACAAAAATCATGCACTGTTACAGAAGGAAATGAATAGCTTGAAGAATACGCTTATTATGTCAAGAGAAAGAGAAGAAAGCAAGAGACACAATTATGAATGCCGTTTAGCTAAGCGTGCTTTAAAAGCTTCACGTAAAATTCAAAAATCTACTGAAAATAAAAATTTAAAGCTGAACATCACGCCCGATCAATTACCGAGTCCACCGAAATTCCTGTTATCGCGTTATATGCATGAATTTCTCTTTTATATTGTGGTAGAATTAAACGAGTATCAACAATTGTTAGCAATCGACGAGTCTTTGTTGCAAAACTGGAAAGAAAACGAGCCGAGTTTGCAAGTGAATGAGTTTCTGCAAACCTTACATGCCGGCATAGAAGTACAGCACGCTTATATGCAACAGCTGAATTGGCGCACATTTATACCACCATTACCAAGATACTCCGACAAGCCCGCCGGCTGGGTGAACATGGTGGATGCTATTGAACGAATACCACTTTTAATTTTTAACAAAATGTTTCGCTTCCAACAAACCGAAAACAATGTTCTGGAGGAATATTTAGCACATCCAATACGCCAGAACTATCTTATACGACAATTACCAACTGATTTACAAAATCAAATCAATCGTGTTTATTTACATCGCATTTGCACCATGGTGCTTAAACTATTGAATCACATGGGCTTGATACAAGTTGGGGAAAGCGTTAATTTCAAAGATACCATGAATATATGGGTATATCTAAATCGGCGCACGCAAATACTCGATACAACACCATCGGAGGCGAGCTATAATAAAATCAACACAGCGCGAAAATATGAAAAATTAGATTTTCACTTTTCCACCTTCGAGGACATCGTCATGTATTGGAACAATGTTCATCGTATATGCGTTTATACAAAACTTGGACGTCTTAGTGCCAAAAGTAATGAAAAAGCACAAAAACGTAAAGAATTGAGTTTCTTGCCGGCTGTGAGTTTCGATGAAGCGCCAAATTTTGATAATGGCGAAGTGCCCGGCGACCGCGCAGGTGCCGCTGGTTTTGCCTCGCGTTTGTTTGCGCATGCGTTGCGCGCCTGGTCGTGGATATTGAGTACGAACGTCAAACCGTTGCTGACACGCACAGGTCGTGTACCGTTATCGCGTCTCACCTCTGGTAAACACTTGCGTTTAATGGGCTTGCGAAAATCTCGCCTACATAACGCGCACGTCAAGCGTTTACCGCACTCGACTACAGCGAAACGTGCCGCCACTACGAAGAAGTCCTCATCCATGCGTGACGCTATCGACCGTGATGCACTGAAGAATATGCGCACATTGCGTGCAATTTGGGACAAGAATGAGGATGATTTGTTGAAATTGGCGCGCGCTGTTTATATATACATTGCAGCGCCTGTGCCGGTGCTCGGTCTAATGGTCGTTGGTAAAATTTGTCGTGATATTATAAGACACAGCTTAGGAATACGCAATAAAACTACGCAGGCATGCCACCGCCGCATGCAGTATATAGTCAAGTTGGGTAGACACATTCCGGAAGTACCCACCTGGGTGCATATGCTGCAAACAAACTCCGAGATTCAACAACGTTATGGTGAACATTTTCTGCAAGAACTGAAAATTGTCTACCCCGATCGTGAAGAGTACTGCCAAGCTTTGGCCTTGCATTTTATAGAAATCGTCCATTTCTTATATGAGTTGGTGCAAAATGTTAAAGAGAAGGAAGCGACTACTGCGGCACGACCTCGTTTCAAAATACCCGATTGTATTGAAGAATTCCATCGGTTATATGCACAACGTGCGGCGGCACAGGAAGAGAAAGGCATGAAGTATTTGGAGCCGCTTAACGAACAGGATGCACTCACAGTACTTGCAATTAATGTTTTACACAGTTCACTGTGCTCGGCACTTGACAAGACCACTTATACGGCACAAGCTTTTGAGATTTTTAAAAAATTCTCCGAGGAAACATTGCAGCGCGCTTTCCGATTAGCACGTAATGGCACTTTGATAGTGGCGAATAAACGCAAGAATATTGAGATGCTACCCAGCCAGCTGACGAGTCCAGCTTATTCGCTTTCGGTGCATTATCAACGTCGTTTGATCTTTCTACGCATACCTTATCACATCTACGATTCATATTTTGGATTCTTTGAGAATGCGCTAGACGTTTTAATGCAGCCCAAAGAGGAGGAATTTCTGAATCAGCCGTCTACTAGCAAAGCACGTTCATTTAAAAATATTGTAGAGCTTCGGTCGCCAAATGCCGGGCAACTCTTCTTTATTGGCGAGGGTTTGGCACGAAATTTTTGGAACTGTAATATAAAATTTCCCAGCAATATATTAACGGTGGACGCTGAAAAGAGGCAGACGCTATCGTCGATGGATCGTATACTCGATCATTATCACTGCATCTTCGATCATGCACCCGAGACAGAGTACACTAAGAATTTTGAAACTGAAGCCAACGGAAAACAGGTAATTTTAAAAATCTTTTAGTTCGTTGAGGGTTCTAGGAAGGTCACGCTGTAAAACTTGTTATTTGATTGGTCGTATTCGGGGATTTGCATGCATTAAGAATTTTTTTTTTATAAATTTTTTTTTATTAATTTTTTTTTTATGAATTTTTTTTTATGAATTTTTTTTTATGAATTTTTTTTTTATGAATTTTTTTTTATTAATTTTTTTTTTTATTATTTTTTTTTTATTAATTCTTTTTTATTAATTTTTTTCTATTAATATTTTTTATTAATTTTTTTTTTATTATTTTCTTTTATTAATTTTTTTTTATGATCTTTATGTTGTTTTCCACAGGTCCGCGTTAAATTTCAACCTGCAAATTTGAGCTATAAAATCACCTATAGCCCGTACGACTTTATATCCAAGCTGCCAACTCGCCATCTACACTTTTTCTGTGCACTCGACCATCTCAATCAAGAGGTGGAGATCAACTTTAGTCGCCTAATGCGTAAGGATGATGAGCACGACACCTTTTGCATTGAGTGTCCATTTAACTGTGTACTGAAACACGCCAACTACATCAATGCCATTGAGCGAATTGTGCAGGAGAAACGAAATGTTTTGAGGGACCTAACCGAAATGCCACCGCAAAAGCTTTTGAATATGGCTTTGAGTGGTTGTTCTGTAACTGTGGAGTCATCGAATCTGCTAACCTTGGTGCGCATGTTGGAATCCTTCTGGCATGAAAAGGAAACGGCATGCGAAAAGAAAGATCTGGGTCGTGTATCGGCGAATGTGAAGGTGAACAAGTCTATCGACTGGCATCAGTTGTGCTGTGAAATACTTCAGTATAATGCAGCGGAGGAAGATAATGACAAAAATGATGATTATGAGCCAACGCTCAACAAGGAGGAGCGTCTAGCACGCGCTCAGGATGTCTTTGTAGTGAATCTGCCAACGTTACAGTTGGAGGCAAATAGAGATTTTTGCTTACTAAGCAAAGAAACTGTGGTCCACAATGACGTTTGTGTACCCAAACGTTTAATGGAGCCAGAACTTTTACGTGAACAAATACTGAGGAAAATTGTAGAGTAAGTATAGTGTTTTTGTTGCAATTCATGTCATGTCAATTTGTTTACGATGTCATTGTATAAAACAGTGAATCGCATTGGAAGTATACCGAAAATACCTTTGAGGTGCTCAAACCGAAACTAAGTAAACTGGGCTTTAATGAAATGGAGCAACATCATGTGGAAGACTTGCTTAAATTTATTGAGAAACATAAGCTCGGTGTGCCCGTTACAGATTTGCTGGTAACTAAGCTGAACTATTATTATTGTTTTTTTTTTTTTTTTTGAAGCATACTTAATATTTAAATTATCCTCCTAGCATGAGTTTCCCTACACACAATTCCTCGCGCGCGCTTTGCGGCTACTTTCCGAGCATTATCTCGTCAAACGTGTTGGCGTGAACAAACCGATGTATGTACATAAAACAAACATTCGTCCTTGGGTTGTGCACACATTTCATCTTAAGCGGCTGGAACGCGAGAAACTGGGTCCAGATGGCACAGCAAGTCTTAAGCGAGCCTCAACCGCTGATGATGCCACTTTAGGTGACGAATGTGATGAAGAGGCTTGTCCCAGCAAGCGCGTCAAGTTGACTGATGATACAAGTGAAGCTGTAGAGAATCAACGTAGCAGTAAACGTATCCCTAAGCCAGTAAAACGATTCGAAGGCGAAAATACGAATGTTAAGAAAGAAAAAGAGAGCAAAAGGTTAGTTCTTATATCGGAATCACAAAACAATATATTAACCGATTGTTTATCTTTACAGTGATGTCATTGTGATGAAACCTCATCCCTGGATACGTCTAAATGGCACTATTAACCGTCGTGTATTGGATCGGTGGATGGGTTCTCTTCTTACGGAATGTATAAGTCGTTCTGGTATAATGGTATTAGAATTGTGTCTAAAGTTCACACATTTACCACCCGTCGATGTTATGTTTTTACTTGAAATATTAAGTGATTTGAAATGTGTACACTTAACGGAAATGAAACCCGCCGTTCCCACTCTATTCTCATCATACGAAAATCTTGAAGAAAGTAAGCAGCCTATCTAAACATACCAAAGTTTTTTTTTTTTTTAACGAAAAGTTATAATCTTTCAGCTATCGTAACCGAGTTCTATGTTCCGGAGCATACTTATGTGACGGCGCATGCGGATGCACTGACGCGCATGGCAATGTTTATTGGCAAGAAAAAGTATAGTACACAATTCTTTTAAGCGGTTTCTTTATTTTACATTATTTATCTATGATATAAATTAAGTTTTTTTTTCATAAAACGCATGAACAAAAATAAATTAGTCTGGCTTTATTAAAGTCTACATACAACCACGTAGAAAGAAATTGCTTCTTTTTTTTACCATAAAGGAACCTTTTTTACTGGCATTATCGCTTTGACAAAAATATATTCTCCATCTCTTCACGGTCTTTTACGCATTCTGCGGTAAGTATTTCAACGTTATTGTCTGCCGTGATCAGCACATCATCTTCGATGCGTATACCGATTCCACGAAATTCCTTTGGCACATCTTGTCGATCTTGACCTATGTAAATACCAGGTTCCACCGTGCACACCATACCGGGCTGCACAGGCAATGAGCGTGGTATTAGTGGCGTATCATGCACGTCCATGCCAAGATAGTGGGAAACATGATGTGGGCAAAATTTATAGCCGGCCTGTATACGATAACATACTTTTAGCTGCAATATTTATTTTTAAAATTTTGAGGAAATCTTACCCGCGCATATCCAATGTCGTCCGAAATACTCTTAGGCACTATACCAACTTCTTGTAGATATTTGCCTAATTTTATACACATTGTATCGAACAGTTGATCCAGTGTCTCACCACCGGTTTTGAGCAAAGTAGCTATAAAGAGATATATTAAATTTCAACTCAAAATATCAACAAAAAAAATACCTACATATCAATTCTTTTTGTAGTTGCAGTACCACATCGTACAAAACTTTTTGGGTTGGCGTAAAACTACCGTCTATGGGCCATGTGCGTGTTATGTCACTCGTATAACCGCCGTATTCACAGCCTGCGTCCATTAGTACCATTTCGCCACTCTTTGTCAATTGTGTATTGCTTATATAATGTATTGTTGTCGCATTATTGCCTGTGGCCACCACAGGTGGATAAGCTAAATGGCTGGCATTTTTTATACGACACTTATAGTCGACCGCTGCAAATAAGTGCTGCTCCGAAATGCCCGGTCTTGATTCACTTATTACCTCATTAATTGCTCGCGAAGCAATTTGGCAGGTTTTGCGCATTAGATCTTGCTCAGCAGGGGATTTGTATAATCGCATGCTTTGTATGAAAAGGGAAGGTGATTTCAACTCTGATATATTATCTGCTGCCTCTTGAACATCTTTAGCAACATTCGGCTGATCTGTTGAGGGTGTATCAAACCAAACAAATGGTTTCTCGCTGACAATATATTTTTTAAGCACTTTATAGAACTGTTCCACTGGGTATGCTTCATCAACACCGAAAAGATCGGGCGCATTATCAACACCGGTTCGGGCACCGTCCCACAATTCAGCGTGTTTATCTTTTGGCCTCATAAATAGCATGGATTTGATGTCTTCCTTTTCATTAATGGTCATGACGAGCACAGAGTCCGGCTCTAGACAACCGCTCAGGTAATAGAAGTCGGAATTTTGTCGAAAAATGTAGGGTATTTTATCGCTCATATATTTCTTGGAAGCGGATGGTATGATAACCTTTAAAAAATATATTTAAAATAACACGATAATGTGTAAAAAATTTACTTTTAAAATAATTTACCACATTCTCCTTTTTATTCGTTTTGTCCTTGCTTTCTTCTTCAGCGTATTTTTGTATGCCACCCATGAGTCGCAAACGTCGATCCCGAAATTCCTCGACATTTTGTCCGATTACCAGTTCTCCTTCGTTTATAAGATGCGGATGGGTCAAATAAGTGGGTTGACCAAATGCTTCTGATCGCAAGTTTTGCAAGAAATTTTTATTTATCGATGCCGCAGCCGCCGCATCTGACGAGGAGGAGGACGATGATGATGACGAAGAATTGAACGCAATGCGCTCTTAAAGGAAAGCAACTTTTAATTGAATAATATCAGAAAATATGAAATTAACTTACCAAATTTACCAAGTGATTTAATTATTTGCGTACGCCTCACATTTTTCCAAATTGACATATTTATGTGCTTTGATTTGATGGTTTGGATTAACTAAAACAAATTTTGATAATTTTTCTAATGGAGTTTTGTTTAATAAGTAAGGCTAAATATAGCAGCGGTTGACAAAAGTGTAATTACTTCGAGATAAGCACCTTTATAATCAAAATCAGCTGATTTCTATTGTGAATGGTGTTATGTGGTGTGGACTGTTGTTGTTTTTAGGCAGTGTACATATCCGTTGGTTTAACATGGAATGTTACCAGGGGTTTTTAACTTAACGGTAGTAACATATTCAAATAAAACTGCACTGGAAAACTGTTCCATAGAGGAAAGTCGACACTTCTGGACCGTCCGAGAACGATTTAGAATAAATTTAGGCCCCCACCATTCATTAGAACACGTAGAGAACAAATTGGAGAAGAAGATCAAGCGAAAATCGCTTCGGCTGTTAGAAAGCACCAGGTAAAAAATCCTTTAATATTTAAACACTAAATAATAAGCTTTATAAATAAGAATTAATGAAATTTATTATACAAAATTCAAGTATTACAAAAAACTTTGATTTCGAACTGCATATGCATACAGACACATAGGCAGCAAAGTGTGCTTACCTTTCGAAACACCCTTTACAAGTTATGCATATTTAATATTTTGTTCTTATGCATTTTAAACCGCATACAAGAGTGTAATTAACGGACTTTTCCTGCTGTTACTACACACATAACTTTTAGAAATAATGGGCTTACCTACATACATATGTCAGTGCAACCTATCGCATGTATATACATATACATGTAATATAGCGGAAAGGTTTCTCGTAGATTGGTAGAATCCAATATACATATGTGCACGTGTTTACATGGGGCCATAGCCCCATGCATACATACATACATATATATATATATATTTAATGTTTTCCAGACATTTTGTCAAGTTGTAAAAATTGATAAATTTGACCTTAGTGTGTGTAAATTATATTTTTATTATTATTAAATTATAATCATCTCGTTTGTGTCAAACAAATGACACATTCCCTAGCGCAAAGGTATCCGAAGACACGCCTTGTTGTCGTTTAGACCAGAGAAAGATGTAATATTGGTTGGGTTATCGTATTTGGAAAATAGAGAAAAGGTAAGAGGGGAGGGGAAGCCAAACGACATCATCGTAAGAAATACAACACTTGAGGGTTTAAAATTAATTAATTAATAATAATTTCATTATACGTATATTAGTACTCAGTTTAGTCCGCGTAAGTTGATTTCTAGCGAGCTAGACGAGCGTGAAAAAAAACTTCAGTTAATCGCTTTGGAATAGCATTGAACTTTGATTTACTCACAATAATTTGTAATTATCAATCTTGTCACACAAATAAAAACTGTTAATAGCAATTACATGCATGGTGCACGTGTATAAAGTAATTTCAGTATTTTATCCGTTATTTTAAATGTGTAGTAGGTATGTACTTACATATATACCTCAAAATCATACATAATTATTTAACAAAAAGAAAAAAAAATTAAATAAAAGAAAACGCCATAAAAAATTCGTCACATCAATTAGATAATTAATAAAAATTTGTGCATACACATACATCTGTACACATGTTTAAGTAGACGTATACATACATGTGTTTAATGTCGCAAATTTAAAATGATCTATATATTGATACATTCTTAGACAAATGTATATTGCACCCAATTAAGCGCTGTATTTTGAGGCAAGCATCAACTCCAAACTACAAGTGAGGCGAACTACCTTATCAATTGATTGATTAGGTTTTGCAAAATGCTAAAAATCTTTAGCAGAACTCGATCGAAATTACTTTATTTAAATTAGTGATGAGCCATACTTATTTACTGAATTCCATATATGTGACTATATATATGTACATATATAATTTAGTATTACTCACTTGTGTATTTGATGTGGAGTCTGGTGTTGATAAAAAATTCTTGCACAGTACTTAATAATTTCCGGACCTTTGTACATATATATACTTATGTATATACACTTCATATACATACATATATAAACGATATAAAAGAGGAATTTTTCATAGTCAACATTACATACATATGACTTACGTTGTTTACATACAGACTTTGAAAAAGGCAAGAGGCATCGCAAATTGTTGGAAAAAATTGCATATCTTACAAAGTTATTTTCTTTTTTGGTACTATTTTTTAATTTGAAATATGTAAATTATTTATTAAAGCATTTAAAAAAATACACTTTACTTTGTGAAACAGGAAATACTCGTATTTCTATTTTGTTTACACTTAATGATCAAGAGTGGCCTATAATTTTAGGGAAATGGGTGTTAAATCATCGCCTCTAATAGATGTTTTCAAGTGTTCAACAAAAACAACACTTTTAATACTATATATGTATGTACACTCATACATATATCATTTACACTCCCATACATTTGTACGTACAGATTTATATGTACATAAGTAAATAAATCGTTGTGATTGCAATGACAATTATCAAACCTAAACTATGAACAAAGGATTCATACATCTCAGTAAAACATGTATAAAAAAATAATTGATTACAATTATTTAGTTATTTATATAGTAAAATTTAATGTGTATAAAATTACTCAGATAACATGACGAAAGTTACACATAAACATGTACATATTGGCATACATACATATCTGCATACATACATACGAACCAGTTTGAAAGCGCAAATTTCAAAACATTTAAGCGTGAATACGAGAGGCTGATTCAAAACTGGGCAAAGTTCAAATTACATACAGCGAAAATTAAATGCGATTCATTACAGAAACAAAGTGGGGGGATTATATGGCCACCGTTTGAAAGAAACAATAGAGAATTAGTTGTCGCGTGTATTTCTTAGGCAAGTGAATGCGGGAAAATTAGTGATACTCTATATGTATTTATGTATGTACATACACGAATGTATGTTTGCCCATACGCGCTGTACATATGTATGTACATTAGTATGCAAATGCCCATGCATACTTTTCAACTCTTTCACACTGTTTATGGTTATTCTCTTAAGTGGACATTTGGCACATGATGAACTTAGTGATGTAAATGATAGCATACAGTTAGTTACGTGGTTGTATTTTGCTTTATTGAAATAAATCAATTTCAATTACAGGTAGTTACAATACTACTTAGTGATACACATGATACTTACATAGGTACGTAGTTGCTAACAAAAGTACAAACCATCTACTTAATTGTAATACACACTTCACATTTTTCGCACAATACATAGGTTTGTATGCGTACAATATAATTTACAAAAACATTTGTATTTTTTCTCGTATGGAATTCCGATTTTATAAAGTGCTTTTTTCAGTTATTGTTGTTGTAACCGCAAAATATTTCCCGAATTGGGTTTCGGGGAATCTTGCGACAGCTCCAGACCTTGGTCGGATAAAAAAGTGTTATCGCAGTTAAAAATAAAAACTTTTGATTGTTCGACTTTTCTGTTTAGTTATACGTAAAATACAATAATTTCGCAAACATTAGCGTTATTTTATTTCTATACCTTATACCAATATTTATTATTTTAATTGTAAAAATTTATATTTTTATTCCGTTTTAGCGAAACTTTTTAGTTTATTAATTGGAAATTTTATTCCTTAAGTATAATTAAAGGGCTAAGCAAATGTAAAGTAAAATATAAGCCGGGTATTCGTACAAAGAGAGATTTAAATTAATATCAGTGCTATATTTATAATTATTGGGCTCTGAAAATATTATTATTAAAATATTTAAATACCCAGTTTATAAATTGTTGCCTAGTGCGCTAAATACATCCGCATTACATGAGTATTACGAACACGAGTACAAAAAATAAAAATAAAAATGTTCCATGGGAGAATATGTAACGTTGCATGTAGGGTGTACACCCCTTTTTTTATTTATCTAAACCCGCGAATCTGATAGCTTATGACTGCAAACGTTTTATGATAAGCAGCATAGCATTGACGGCTATGAGCCACGATATAATACCCCCAATCTGTTGTGTCATTGCACCGCCACTTGTCACAACTTGTTTTGCTACCCTTGGCATGCTGTGACAGATAGTTTCGTTTTTAATGAAGCGGAACATTGATTCTACTATATTAGCAGGGGTAATTTCGCTACATGATTCCAATTTTTGTACAATACATTTTTCCAATTGCTCCATTTCTCCACATTGCTTGACACCCATCACAAATTTTGGCAAGGATTTTATATCCTCAATTCCGGTTTTAGGTATATATCCTGAAAATGTACTATTTACGCAATTCTGTATATCATCCTTTTTGGAGTCTAGACACTCTGGTCCTTTCTCAGCTATAAATAATGCGATTTGGTCACCACCTTTGTAGCAAATGAAACTTAAAAGGCTCTTCACGATACGCATGGCCACGGCTTGATTTTCTTTCTCATCCTTATCTAAGCATGCCGCTATTTTATTGTTAAACTCACTGATACAGTTAAGCGCTTCAGGTTGTTTATTACAATACTTGTTGAAAACAACATCAAGTTCACCTTTCGGACTCGCTTCGTCAATCTCCGCTTGAAGTGCAGTAAAGTTAAGTATGTTCGTAGCACAATCGGAAAGTGTTGCTACAGCATTTTCAATTTGTACAAATGCTTCTTCGCCCTTTTCTTTTCCAGCTACTTCAACACATTTGTTCCGTAAAAGTGTCTTAGCATCGTCCAGTGTCAGATTAGTATTTGCAAATTCTGGTGGTAGCTTTTGTTGTAGGTCGTTAACATTTATTTGACTTATGTCGAGATCCGCAGTGGAAGGGCTGCTCAACACGGTTTCGACGATGACAGCGAAAAACGCAATCGACAGCACAATTTTTGCCTTCAACGACATTTTTTTTATTTTATATGATTATTAAGGCACAAAAGTGTATTTGGCAAATTATTCGTACGGAACACTTTAACACTTAACAACAAGAACGATGTGTATTTCTAGCTAAACCATCAACTGCAGCATTTCGTTGGCACACAAAGACTGAATGTTCCAATGAGCCGATAGAGCTAATTCACGACTTGTGTTGATGATTACAATAGTGATGGTGCGGGCTGCAAAGCGGGGATGAAATCGTTGATTGGATCAAACAAAGAGTTAAAACAAACGACCAACTTACTCTCGTTGTTTTTACGTACTCTCGCCTTTGGCCTTTGCTGATTGCAGTTTCAGATTGCGATGTTCGCAATTTTAACAAATATAAATTGTTGTTGATCTATGCAAAAACGTCAATGCAGACTATATTGTTAAAATGTTTACTTGTGTATAATGACCGATTCCAAATAGAATCCAATTGCACCTATTGGAAGTTTTATGAATTTCAACGCTACCAAATAAGAGATAAGCTGCCGTTAATCACTGTAGAGGTCGCCCAAGCCATTAGTTTTTACACCCGATAGTTGTTCTGTTCGGTTACTTGATGGGCAGTAGAAGATTTTACTGAATTAAAATGGTCAGCGTTCGGTTTGCAAAAACTCAGTAAAAATTAGTAACGAGAGAGCGTTATTTTAACGTTTAGTTCGTAAGTTGCGAATGCTTGCTGCGTAAAAGTAAAAACTAGCAAGTATGGAGCTGATTTGTGATCATATGATTGAATTTTTGTCAAACATCCAAAATTTATTTAAAATTAAAATAATATTAATTCCATAATATTGATGATACACTAACGCAATAAGTGCCCAAATTTAATTTAAAATAAATAAATTTAACAGCTATGGAGCTCATTGCATGAGAATGTGGTGGCAGTGGAAAACATCGCCCAACTTTCGTTGATAAATTAGCAGTTAGGATTGTTGTTGGCAAAGAATTACATCTTGTACAACACAAGTTGATTTTGGACTTATATAATATTCTAAGAAGCAGTGGCACACAAATGAGTCGCATAACATTTCGAATCATGATTGATGCAACGGTCACAATAACGATAACGCATTCTTAAGCTTCCGATGATGCACAAACTGAAATAGTAGTAGCGTTTAAAAGGGAAAATAAAGCTCATGCTGGCATTTTATTTAACTGAATTAAAGAAACTCTATAATAATGCTCAGTAAATAATACCGGCTTACAGGGCAATCAACTTTTACATATACCTTCGTCCTTTTAGAGGAGTACTAGAAAAAACATATAGGTACCTTTATCCTTTGAAGTATATAAATCATGTAGATTTTCTTGTTGATCAAATACAATTCTTGAATACAATTAATAAATTAAAAATTCCATATAGTTGCCAATTTCATAAAAATGATCAAGAAACTAATTTAAATCATAATAAATGAACTAATTCAAATTTATCCACCAAAATAAATAGCTGTTGTACAACTTGCTGGCAATTTTTCATTAAATCCTGCTCGGTGAAAACTCAGTACATATCTTTCTTTGGGAGAGTAAGGCATCTTACTCTCTCAATTTCGTTACTGTCTAATTATTCCTGACTTTTCTCAGCAAACAACTATTATATACCGGGTACCGGGTCGCTTACAAATGCTCGGTGCCACCCGAACTTTGTAATTCCTTTTTTTTTGCTTTTGTTATCATTCTCCTTAAAATGACATTCTCAAATTTTGACAGCTGATAACCGATTAAAAAGTGAATTAATTTAATTGAAAATTGTCGTAACTTTATCCATTATTTGCCTCTTAGTTCTAAAGTATTTGTTATTTAAATATATTTTGCGTGAAAGGAGAGTGCTAGTACTCTAATTCAAAAAGATTAAAAGGAACATAAAATTACCCAAAATAGGAATCGACAGAATGTGTTAGTGGGCTTAGAGCAATAACTGCAAAACTATTTGCGTTTCACAGCTGTAACATCCTCCATTATTCCATTTTGAAAGCTGTGGAGCGATTTAACAATATTTCTAAATTGTAAACGGATATCTGCAGATGGCAGAGTCTGAAAAATCTCCTGACAACATGGCTATCGAAACGAGTGCCGAAAATATCTCACCAACAAATGAACCTGAAGTCATGACTGCTGAATGTGTTACAAATTCACCATCCTCTAACGCTGCAGCTGGTGATGGCATACAAATTGATTTAATTTCAATAACTCCAAAAATTAAAGCTGTGAGAATAAATGAACCTTTACCGTCAGCATATCTCTCTCAACCAAGTCCACCATCATACCCACCTTGCATAACTGAAGGTTTGGAACAATTTAAACCCATAATACCTTTTGAGGAACTTTCGTTCGAAGAAGTAGGTTTAAGCAACTTTAAATGCACTAAGATGTTTGCTTACATCACTTTTGCAATAGAGTTATCTTAATTTGTTGTTTCATTTCAGAAAATTGGCCATGGCTCCTTCGGTGTTGTTTACAAAGTGAAATGGCAATCACGACTCGTAGCAGCCAAAGAATTCATGGCAAATCCCGATCAAGCAGAGGCTATTGAAACTGAGGTAATGTTGTAGTAATTCAAATTACTGGTAACTAGTATTATATTTACTATTAACAAATATCTTTTTGAATAGGTTAGGCAACTGTCTCGAGTAAGCCATCCCAATATTATAGAGCTTTATGCCATAACCGCCAATCAACAATCAATATACCTCATTATGGAATTTATGGAAGGTGGTTCTTTACACACATTTCTACATGGCAAAGTTAAACCATATTATTCGACCGCACATGCCATGAGTTGGGCTTGCCAATGTGCAGAGGTAGATAATTTGTATTCAATCGTGTTTAGTGGTTGATAGTATTACTAATAATATATCTTTCTTTACAGGGCGTCTCCTATTTACACGCCATGAAACCAAAGCCACTAATTCATCGCGACTTAAAACCACTTAATTTGTTACTTACAAACAAAGGGCGGCATTTAAAGATTTGTGATTTTGGTACTGTTGCCGATCAGGCAACAAAAATGACCAATAATCGCGGAACAGCTGTGTATATGGCACCAGAGGTGAGATAAATTATCATTTAAGCCGTGTAAAAAATTCATAAATTTAATATTTAATTCAAGGTGTTTTCATCATGTAATTATGATGAAAAATGTGATGTTTTTAGTTGGGCGACAGTATTATGGGTGGTGTTGATGCGTCAACAACCTTTTGCAGAAATTACAAATGCCTATTCAATTCAGTGGCAAATTCATAAAGGTAAATTATTATTAAATGAATATATGTTATGTACTTTGCCGCAGAATAAATACTTTCTTTATTAAAATATGTATTTTTTTTTAGGTCATCGTCCACCTATGAATCCGAAAATTCCTCAACCAATACAAAACCTCATGCAAGCTTGTTGGCTTAAGGAACCCGCAGAGCGTCCACCTATGGCACAAGTATTGGCATTTATGAAAAGAATAACGGCAGATTTACCGGGTGCCGATGAACCATTAGAATATGAATTCAAACATCTTCAGGTGAGCTATTATCATATACACTATTATTGCTATGAGCATTTGATACATCTTTCATTTACTATTTTTAATTTTATTTAGATTGTTTGTACGGATACAACACAGTCTACGGATAGTTATCAACTTGATTTTAGTAGTTTGAGATCAACTGAGGTCTCGGACTCAACATTAGATTTGACGCCTACAAATTCGGCAAAACATTCAAATACCTCGGACTCCTCGCTAACACCTACAAACAGTACAGAGGGGCACTCTAATTTTCTGGTTCCACCAACAACACATATACCGACTGCACGCATTTCTGGCTTGACATGTTGGGATGCCATTCCGGAGGAGTCTGAGTCTTCTGCATGTCCGCATGAGTCTAGCGCAGATATATTTAATTTGACGCCATCGGCATCGGCATCAAGACGTTATGAAACCATGCGTAGCGGCCTTATGCAAAAAGCTAATATCAATATGAATCCACTGACAATCGATGTAGATCCGGTAAGTTGGTAATTTTATTTTAGTTTGTTTTTAAGTTTAATTAAATTTTTCCTTATTTGCATATTTAGCGCGCCTGGGACTTATTTCGTGGTGAGTTCAGTTATTCTACCTAAGTAGTTATTCAAAAAAAAAGTATTGAAAAATCTATATTTGAGCTCTAAAAACAAATACTTGTTAAATAGGAGTTATAATTAAAAATTAGTAAAAACCTTAGGCAGTACAGCTCAAATCGATTTTTCTTAAGCAAAAGACATTATGAGTTTTATCAAATCATTATCCAGCTATTTAAAATATTTAAATTACCAATTATTAATTTTTCAGAGCTAAGGTATAGCCTGAAAAGTAATAATTATATTCATTTTATACTTTTTAGATCAGATATTATTTTTACTTTCCATTTTCGCTCAAAACTAATGATTATATCTACGCTTTAAATTTATTTTATTTTTTTTTTATCAAATATAATCATATTCTGATATACAAGCTTTCGAGCAAAAATAACGATTTGCTTTTGAGTTTTATTTTCTTCATCAAAATATTTATTGCAGGAAAGTTCACGGAATTTGGATAAATATTTTGTACTATAACTTCTTTATATGTGTATGAAACTGTGCCTGAAATTTCATATATACTTTAACGATCGTGAAAAGATTCTTGATAACAGAAAGATTGGATAATAAATTTTTGAAATTAATATTTTCGATTGAGAAAAAAATTATTCAATGACTTTAGGAACTCTACCTCACTTCGTCGTTATTCATCCAACACATCCGTCAGTGGGATATGTAGTTTGTGAAATTATCTAAGCCACGTCAGTGGGATAATACAAAGTTGGGGAAAGTTCAGAGAGAAATAATAATTAGCTTAAGAGAGCTCTAAATCAGCTAAAACAAAACCACTTAATCATATAAAAATACATTTATGAAAAGGAATGAAAATATATGTGTGCTGCGAAGATCGATTTTAATTTGCAATATTTCTATCTAGGCAAAGGGCTGTGTGAATTTGCATTTTAGGAAAAGCGAGAAGCGTAAAACGCTGGCTAAGTACTTCCTACCATTCGAGTTTTTGCATTCCTATTGCGTGCAATGGAATTTATCTTCTCACAGATGCAAATTTACGATTTCATCCATGCTCTTCAAGCAATTGTGATTGACGGCTGTGCAGTCTCAGATGTCTGACAGGCATCGGTATAAGACCAGCGGGCCACGTGCCTAGTGCTTGCCTGATTACGTTCTATTTTCTCCCCACCCGCTTAAGCACTTATAGGGTTTCTCTACTTAAAAAGCAGTATGATCTTTCAAAGTATATACAATTGGCAGAAAAGGAAGAACAATGAGTAATGAGAAAATATGTTTATTGTAGCTGTTTTTATTGTTAAGTATTACTTCATGATGTGTAATGAAAATACGAATTTTTTTTGAAGAGTATATATTTAAATTTGACGTTCATTTAAAGTTTATTCAATGGTTAGTTTATAACAATCAAAAATCAGAAAATCAATAATTAATTTTCATTTTTGAATGGAAAGTTTTTAATTGTCAAAATGTTTATTTATGATAAAAAAAAACTAAAGAAAACAAAAACCAAAATGATTATTTTTGAAAAAGAGAACAAATAAACAATTTAAAGCTTATATATAATAATTAGTTTTGAGCAAAGATATAAAAATCGAAAAATAAAAATAAAATTTCTTCGGAAAAATATAACTTAATTGCTAATAATTATTTTCTTAACAATAAATAAAAAATAGAATTTATTATTACTTTTAATTTTTGTAGATATTGTTCACAATTTGCCTCTGCATTTACAGAAAAATCCAATGAGATATATTATATTATTTGATTTTTTCATTGAAAAATCAAAAATAAAGTTTTATTTCGATCCCTGGCCAAAACCCATTGAATTGGAAAGTGGCAAAACAATTGTTCACCGTGCAAGAAAGGGCATTTACCACTTTTCAACAAGAAAGAGAATTAGATGTATCCTAGAACTAGAGTTAACAATTTCCTGTTTAATTTCTGCTTTCTCTCATGCCCCTGCTGAAGCGCCCTGAATATACGATAACAGAAAAAACGCTTTTGAAAAGACATGTGGCGCTAAGAGCAAATCAATTTAAATTCTAAAATAATTTACAGTAAAGCTGTAAGGAATAATGTCGAGATAAATTCTTGGTATATCTCTTATAAAATAGTAGTTGGTTGCCAGGGCGTATGAGTATCATATTGCATCGTTATATAAAAAATTAAAATTTTTGTATATCAACTGGAGTAATTCTCAATGAGCGTTTATATTGGTTGCTTACTACAATATTGTAAATATGTTAACACTTATTGAATTAAGTTAAGCTTTCCATTTAAAAAACATACTAGCGGGTTAAAATATAAACACTACTGGATTAAACAAGATTTGTCATATAATCATGTTAAATTTCCTGATTAACATTTTAGATACACGCTAGAATTTAATGCCGCAAAACGCATAAATAAACAAAGAATATTACGAAATTTTTTTTTTTTTGGGAATCATAATTTGAATATAAAAATATCAATATTTTCTAATATAGTACATACATATATTATATAAATATTATTTATATATTGTAGGTAGTTAAAAAAATAACATTGGAAAGTTCTATATACATAATGATGAATTGTGTTACAAAAAAGTTGTTGTAATTGCATTTGTATTCCGAAACTCATTCACATGTTAAAATATGGCTTGTTCATCCCAGATACTTTTACTTTTAAAATGCATCACTTAATAATCAATTGAATTTCAATTAATATTGACGTATATCTTTTGCACGAATGTGTGATACGATGTACATATATGTACATATAATATATGTAAATTGATTTCGATGAGTACTGCGTTCCAAACGCAGCTCCACACATTAAAATTCTGCAACCATAAGTGAAAATATTTATATGATAATTATTTGGATACACCCACAACGAGCATGATAGCTCATGTTAAGCATTTACTGATTCACAATGTATTTGTAATGGGTTAATCATATCAATTGCATATTAAAGGCTGATTTTTGGCAAATAATTGTAAAATAATTATTTTGATTTTATACATTTTATTTTATATAATTCATTTAATTTATTTTTCTTGTTAACTACGTGTACTTAATTTATTTACTTTATAAATTTAAAACTTTATTTTGCACAATATCCGACTTTCAATTTGCTGTTTTTTTATACATTAAAACTCACGTCTCCCGGCCAAGGTATTCATAAATCTACTTTTTATTTTTCATAATTACTCAAAGAAAAATAATTTTTATTTAAACATATTTCCCAATATAATAATAAGTACTGAGCTATCACTAATTGAAAAGAGATTTTCAAAAACTGCTAAACGCTAAATACCTAGCGCGAACAGGAGCACTAAAGAATTTTATGACAAATAAAAAAGCATACATGCATATATACATACGTGTATGTAGAACAATAAATTAAGCAGGTCATACCAATTACAACAGAATGGATTATTTTTAAAAATTAAGAAATGACTTGCAAGCACAAATATTTATGTACACACATACGAGGTGTGATCAGAAAATATCCGTTATTTTCAAATTTCGTGAGTTACGTATGTTCGATTTTCGCTTCTTTTTTCTGTTATATTGATACACATGTCTGTTATACAATAAATGCTGCTAATATCAGCCATTTTGGATTGGCAGTATGTTTTTGACAGGTAAAACGGTTAGTGGTGCTTTGGTGTACTCTTCGATTTTTTGCTATTCGAAAAAATGGATCAAAGAAACTGTATTAAGGGGGGAACCTAGTTTAGAAAAAAATCGATTTCTTGAAACTTATCTTATTCGATTAGAAATATGTTCAGAAATTTTTCCACAAAATGTCAGAGGCAAATTCCTAATCGTTCCGCAGAAATGGCCTCTAAGAGACAATGCGCTCAGGAGACTGATAAGCTGGCGCGAGAACTTTGAACGCGATTTTCTCAAAACACTGTTTTTCAGTTTTGTTCTCACGATTAAAAAATTTGTAATTGTCACATTTTCATAAGTGATACCTTTTTTTTACGGCTATTAGTGTAGGCTTCTATGTGAACCTAAAAATTCATAATAAAAAAATTTTTTTTATTAACTTTTTTCAATAAATTATCTTACAATTTCTTCAGAAACACGCAAAATTTTTTATAAACAGTCATAAAATAAATAATTTTATACATTTCTACGAATATCTTAGGTTCACATAGAAGAGCAACTCCTAAGCTACAAAAAAAGTATTCGTTTTTATGTTTCAGATGAAAACTACAATACAATCGCTATGTGTTCACAAAATAGACTCTTCGAGCGAGTAGTGCCACAAGCAAATACAAATTATAATTGCTTAACGGTATCAAATAAGGTAAATTTTTTTTGCAAGATTTGTGTATCTATGATCTATTTCAAAAGTACTCGAAACATTTCATACGTAAGGCAATCTAAAACACTGTGCCGAATATTAAGCAATTTTTAGCGTTCTAAACCGAGTTCCCCTCTTAAGTTTTGTGTAAAAAATGCAATTAAATGTGCAAGGACATTTGAAATGTTGACTGTGGTGTTCGGCGAGTCTGTTGTGGTATAACCGCTTTAAGTACGGCCGAGAAGATGCCAATGACAATACTCACCCTGGTCGCCCGGGCACGTCAACAACCGATGAAAACATTGAAACAGTGAAGAAAATGATTTTCGATAATCCTCGAATCACTATCAGAAAGATTGCTGATGATGAAGGATTACTACCTAGAAATTATGCGCCGTTTGCGCTAAGTAATTCGTCAGAAACGCACAGAATTGGGGAAAAAACAATCATGGATTTTGCACCATGATAACACATCAGCTCACATAACGAAGCTTGTGCGTGAGTTTTTGGCCGAAAACAAAACCGTTATCATGCAAAACCAACGTATTCACCGAACTTGGCCGATTATTTTGTGATCACACCTCGTACATGCACTAATAATGCGAGTAAGTGCGATCTATGTGCTGAGTGTCATAGCTGTATGACTCATCAGCTGGTGGCGAACTGTCTGTGGGACACTTATCTATAAGACTGTTAGGCATTCAATTT